GGAATGAAAAATCAAACATGAGGCTTACTGATGTTAGCTGGGAATGAAAAATCAGACATGAGGCTTGCTGATGTTAGCTGGGAATGAAAAATCAAACATGAGGCTTACTGATGTTAGCTGGGAATGAAAAATCAAACATGAGGCTTGCTGATGTTAGCTGGGAATGAAAAATCAAACATGAGGGTTACTGATGTTAGCTGGGAATGAAAAATCAAACATGAGGCTTGTTGAGGAAGTGAAAAATCAAACATGAATCTTAAATGAAAAAATTGACTTGTTTCTGGGGTCTCTATCAGATTGAGGTTTTAAAGAAATGGAAAGGGAAATATTATTGCCTCTATTTAGCTGTCATGGGAGACTTGCATGTGTAACACATCATCAGGGGTATGTACAATGTATCACTGATGTGGTCATAACATTGAGGCGTATTTATTTAGGATTAATATGAGTGGACCTACGTCAGAATAGGAAGGAAGGAAAACTTAAGTATGGTTGTGACTTTCTGCTTCAATCAGATAAACGCATGTTAAACAATACATGGTTGGCAACTCCCGCGCGTCCCATACAACATCGTGTCATTTCCTGCTTGTTTACACAGGATGGACGGAGAAAATTCCGAAGATTCACGTTGATGTGTTATAAACATTGGTTTTTGTGATTATCATTCTGGTTCAATCGAATTTAAAATATACCTACGGAGATTTATCAACATGGATTCGTTTGAAGATATTCGGATCTGTGTACGAAGAGCTTCATCTGTGAGTGTTTTCCCACTGAGTGCATTTGCCCGTTAATCTATTTCTGTGTACTTGAGTTTGCTAGTCTGTACCATGCACAGTAAGTTACTTATATGAAGTAATATCCTTCCTCGTACTGCAGCTACAAGGTTGACAGAACCAGTAATAAAACCTTCCTTTCATCAACACAAAGGCCAATGCAAACTTTTTAAGAGTTTATTTGTAGCGGCAGCACGTTGTTGGTGACAGAATTTAATGCTAGGAATTCTGGCTAAGGTAGTTTCTTCCTTTTCTGTTCTGTTGATAGTTTTCAGACAGTTGTGTACTTAACCACTACGTACCTAAATCTAATAGATAAACTCTGATATTGAATATCACTCCATGTATGTGAACATCTGTGAATCTTTTTTAAATCTCATTTTTGCCAATGTTTGTAAGCTTCAGGTCCAGTTGTATTCAAAATCTTGATAGAAGTCGGGAAATTAATGAAACAATCGGTGTGTTATTTATAGAAAAAATACTCCAAATTTATTATTTATGGACCAAACTACAGTTCTGTGCTGTTCAAACAAGGAAACACATACATAAACAGATTCTGTTGAGTTGACCATAAGAATTTTTCAGCATGGTTTATAGTCTACACAAAGAACCTGAAACAGAAAAAGAGTTGTTTTACAAACACACTAGCAGCAGAATGTAAACTAGTAGTTTGTTGTTGCAGAAGCTCTCGCTGTTTCCGTAGACAATGTATTTTGGTAATATAATCAACCTCCCGCAAACTAAAACAAAGATAACTTTGAAGTTTGTAATCAACCTATATCTATACAAGTATTGAAGAAATTGTGCCTGTTGGTGTTATAATGAATATGGGTTTTCAGGGACACAGGCTCTCAAGGATTTTGTTTGGTGGTTTCGGTTGGGTTTGGGACTGGGGTTACTTTAGAATCATTTTGGCAGTGTCATTTGTAAAATTTTGTCAGTTTTCTGATTTTGAAAATATTTAAACTGACCAGAGTTACAAATTTGAAATCATATGCTAGTATACACAGTGTTGTGTTTGGCTGTTAATTCTAAATACTGTTGACAGTGAATGTTTTCAACTCTGTACAAGTTTGTATGATATTTTTATGGATGTATACTTGGCAGAAATCATTTCTGAATGCTGTTTTTGCAAATTTTTTTTGTATCTGACAGTAACCAGTTTTGACTCAGGAGTCAAATTTGACCTAATGTTAGGGTTATGAGGTGGGTCTTGTGGGCTAATGGGTAGCATCCATGAGTTTTACCAGGATGGTCCTGGTATGATTATCCTATCTAACTAAGAAAACTTCATGGTCATCTTGCTGACCACATTTAATGACTGTGTGCTCCAATTTCAAGTCAACAGGAGTTATTTGCTTCAAATTTACAGTTGTTGCAAATATAAAAACAGTTAGGTAAAATAAAGTTTTCTATCACAGCAGTTATCAATGACAGCTATGTAAAGAATTGAGCTGCCTTACCACCCTTCCAGGGTCTCATAACACTGAAATAATTTCACTTCTCTCCTGATAAAAGGTTATGTTAGGGGAGGGTGACGCAGCATGTGTTTTATTACTTGTAAATGTGATAAGACCAGGATCAGGCCCTGGGAACTGTAGACCAGAAGGCTGTGAATGTGTTCTCTGATTTTCACTCTTAAGTTTGTCATAATTATCTCAATAAGTGATTTTGTATAGTGGGTTAAAGTGACCTTGTGTCTCAAATAGGTCATGGTCATAGAAATGTAGGTCAAAGAAACATAAGGTAGAGACAGACTCACAGTCCATACAGGCAGTGAAATGTACTGAAATTAAGTGCAGGGTTGTAGAAATTGGCAGAAAAATTATGTATCTTCATTGAAAAGTATTTGCTCAATATTCCTTGAAATTTCCACATACATTCTTCTAAATGGAAAATTTAATGTTTTCTATACAAAGTATCTATTTGTTAATCAGATAAATAACACTGTTAATCAGTTTCTGGACCTTGTTTTTTGTTTCATGCTTGTCGCTGAACAGTGAAAAATTAAATCTCTTTTAATTTTTCGTAGATTTAAAACTGGATCATTATAAGACATTGTTGAAATTGACTATAAAATTAGTTAATTTTGTCCTGTAAATGAAGTATGGAGCAATTGATCATGGTAATCATGATCGAGGAGTGCACTAGAAGGGTAGTATATCAAACAAACCACCACAAATTTTATATTCTGTTTCTCACAAAAAAAAAAAAAAAAAAGAAAGAAACAAAAGACACTTTAACCTCACACTTAAATGGATTTGAAAATAGAATGAATTTTTTGTGTTAGAAACACATAAGGCGGCAGTCTCATTGAAACAAGGACTGTTTTTAGGGTATAGTTTTTCTCATGTTATCAGAAGAGTTAATTTTCACATTGTAATCAAAAATCAAGAAAAGGTTTCTTGGAGGATATGATGTATGACTTAGAAAATGAATTAAAAACTGGGAGAAAAAAAAAATTGCAAGATTTAATCTGCTTGGATTTTCAATGTCAGATTTATTTTTAATTTAAGAGCAATATGGCTTTCGTTAGCAATGAGAAGTTTTTATAGGTAGCAAATTACTTTGGAATTAAATGACTTTTTGACCCATGTGGTGGTGTGTAAAATTTAACATACAGACTTATGTTCTCAGATAAACACTAACTTCGTATCAGGGAATTTCAATTCACACACATAATGTCGGGTAAAAAATCTTATGTATTTTTATCATTGATAAGAAATTTAATGATATGAGACCAATTTTTCTTTGAAATCATTCCTGCTGATTTTTTGGAAGTCCATTTGCATTATTGGACATGGCAAATATTTAATATCGAAAGCCAGTATGCTTTACGGCATCAAATCTCCACAGTAATGTTTCGTGATTTTCTCACATTCGTTTTGTTGGTAGCGAGATTGTGCGGGGAATGATTCAGTAACATCTATCAGAGTTGTTCATTTTTTTTTCTATCTTGGTTTTGAATTAAGTTGGTTTCTCTCTTCCTACAGAATCTGCTGAAAGATTTCAGCAGATTATTCCAGTCTAATTTAAAATTCATGAAATAGGCTGGATGAAAGGAAGAAAAATCAATTTCTTGTTTGTTTACTTTGAGCACTGATATATAGAAGGATTGTAACTGGGCTTGTAACTAGCAAAGTAATTCTGTATTTTGAGGATGATTGTGAAAGCTAGACAAGTAGATCAACATTCAGGCGTAAAAAGATCCTTTACATACTATTAGTAGGTACATAATGACTTCAGATATAATTTTCTTATCAATTTTAATTCAACACTGATGTACTTGTTAACTTTTGAAAAAAAAATGGAATTTTTTTTAGCTAATAGAGCAGAAATTATTTTGTGCATTTTAGAGCTTGTATCTGACTAAAACTTGATGAAAGACTTATACAAATTACTACCTATTTTGATGCCATCTTAGTACATATAAATAAATTTTATATCAGAATTTTTATGTAAATAATTTGTTTTAAGTGATGTTTTAAAGCTTTGATAACACTTGAGCTGAGCATAAGCTGTAAATGTCTAAAACAATCTGTTTTTGTTGTATGATGGAATCATTGCTTTAGGAAAAAGGCTCTGACATGTTGATAGACAGAAAACGGGAGCACTCTGTCTTTCATGAAATATCACAATGATTCAGAGTTGATGTATATGTTACAAGACTGGTGTTTATTAGCTGTATCTGCCTTTGAACTGCAAGGGGTCATTTTAAGGCTGGTCTCCTTTTAGTAACTGGTGGTGACATTTCTGAATAACATACAGAAGGACCATCTCATTCTATTGGCATCATAAATGTTGACTCACTTATGATATAGAGAGACAACATTGTGAACTGCCAGGGGCCATTTTGAGGCTGACTGTGATAGAAGGGATATAACAGATAGTGAGTTAGTGTATGGTACAACATTCATAATTGCCTCTACATTGCTGCCATATCTGAAATAGTTACTATTACTTGGTAAACAGATATGATTCAGAGTGAATTATCTGGACTGCTAATGAAAATATTGGAAATTACATCATGTGATGATGCTTTGTAGGATTTACGTTAGAATGTTGTTGTAATAGTTTTCAGTAGTTTTGGTGTATAATTGTTTACATATGAGATGAATTTTGTAATGTCTTTGTACAGAACATGGTGGAGTGGCCTTTTTTGTCATTGCCTTTTTACTTGTATTTTCATTTGACTTGACCTGATTTTGTTTTGTTTTTTTGTAGATTGACTATCCTGATGTGCAGGTTATGAAAAGTGGTCAGCGACAGGCATGTAACAGTGTGAATATTGACCGCTACATTGATGACCATTATGAAGGCCGCATGCGCAGAATGCATTCCGACGGTAGTGTAGAGCCGGTAAGTAGATCAGGCACCCTTGGAGGGGACATTGATTTGAATTGGTCTGACTAATACAGTTCTAATTAACCCTAGCCAAATGTCTTGCTGCATAGAGAGATCCTAAGAGATCAAAATGTCAAGAGCTGGGAATTTTTTTTGTCACCGGCCTCAGTAATGATAATTAAACCTTCAAGCTCCAGCTTTTTGGATGTATCCATTTGAGGTATCCCCCAGTGAAAAAGAAATTGCATTGTTAAGCATGCATGGTTTTTTCCAAAGACTGCTTGGTCTTTGTCTACCACATCCAATCGGGACACCGATACATTTTATGCTACATTGATTCAGCAATTTATAGTCCGGTAAAATGCCAAGATTGGTCATTTGTAATAATTGGCTTCAAGAAATTATTTAAAACATGATCTCAGCTTTGGGAAAAAAATGACTCTGAACGAATTAATTTCCTGATGCATCTCTGGAAATAATGAAAGTGTGGAAAAGTAGGGAAGAATTTATTTTATACTCGGTCGGTTATTGACACAACACACTAACAATATTTGGAACCATCCACACAAGAGTACACCAGTGGTACTTAAATGTTTGGATTACTGGTGTCACTAATTGGGGAGATCATTCTAAATTCTCATATTAGGAGGATTTTGTCTCATCTTTCGAAAGGGACGACAAATGTGTTAATGTTTGTCAGAAATGCAATCTGCATCAGTGTTGCTAATTCATTAATAGAAATATTTTTCTGTGTAGTTAAACCAGTGTGTGTACAACTTCAATCAAGTCATTTAGAATGATATTGTATTTCTGGATCACAGTAGGATTTAGTTCGAAATATAATGCTTCTCAAACTGATTCCACTACATATACCTTCACTGAACAAGTTCTTGAACATTCAAAAACAGTTTTCTGAATTTGATTTCAACATCTTTTTGTCATTTTGAGGAATTCAAACAGTGCACGAGACAGCAGATTTTTAGTTAAAAGAAATTAATTTTTTCAAAAAAGTGATTTAATGATTTTTTTTAGCTTTTATCCGAAAGCAGTGCTTTTAACCGATGCATTTGGTAGTGAAAGGCATCAGTATCCTGACTGATTTACCATTGTATGGCAGAATATTTTATAATGAAGGCACAGTTCATCCAATCAGATTGGTTCAGAGTTAATGACTAAGGGTGTTTTGTTTGATGATCAATGGTTGATAAGTGATGAAGTCACATGATGATACTTTTAGTTGATGAAACAACTGTAATCACAGATGTGTTAGTTATCCAGGGCCTACAAGCTGGGATTTCTATCTTACTCAGCCACACTCTCCTTGATAGATATTATATATCATTCACACAACCTAGCAACATGTAATTTATACGCAGTTTGGAATCTAGAAATATTTGGCGCATGATCGACATTTCCTGGCATTCTGTTCTTGTGTTTTAAACAGTATTATAGATAATATTTAGTATGATTCTTCAGAACCCAGCTGAGAAATTGTTCAGTTTTGTAATGAATGCTATTAGATAATCTAACATATTAACACAGAGGAATTTGTTAAATGTTTTTCTCTAAATACCACAGAGGAACTGATTTTCATTTTCATATTTCTCTTGTCTTTCTCATTCATTTCTCAGTAGGTGAAAAGATCAATGTTTTTAATACACTATAAAGTTTACTATCAGGATACCACAGCATGCCTTTTACACTGAAGGATACTGGAGCTTTCCCTCATTAGCTGTGAACAACTTCAGCACCATGACCATCAGATGTTGATGGCAGCTGATGTGTTTTTGGAATTTCTGTATTTTTTATCTGGTGGGGTGCACACAGTATAGGCTAGGCAGAACTTTTGACATATGTATGTATATGAAATACTTTTCAGAAATATGGTTAAGTGATATCTAAAAAGTGCTCATAAACTAGTAAAATGAATTGGTTTATCTCCATAGTTAGCCATTCAGTGTGATTGTCGGGGTCCCATTTGATAGATTAAAATTTAGTGAAAATTGGATAGAAGTATAATTGAGTACACAGAAACTTTGGTTTTTATAGCTACACACAAATTATGAATTTATTTTGCAACAATAAAGACTTCAGATAAAAGAGTTCCATGTGTACAGTTTAGACTTCAGATAAAAGAGTTCCATGTGTACAATTATTACTTCAGATAAAAGAGTTCCATGTGTACAGTTAAAACTTCAGATAAAAGAGTTCCATGTGTACAGTTTAGACTTCAGATAAAAGAGTTCCATGTGTACAGTTAAAACTTCAGATAAAAGAGTTCCATGTGTACAGTTAAAACTTCAGATAAAAGAGTTCCATGTGTACAGTTAAGACTTCAGATAAAAGAGTTCCATGTGTACAGTTTAGACTTCAGATAAAAGAGTTCCATGTGTACAGTTAAAACTTCAGATAAAAGAGTTCCATGTGTACAGTTTAGACTTCAGATAAAAGAGTTCCATGTGTACAGTTAAAACTTCAGACAAAAGAGTTCCATGTGTACAGTTTAGACTACAGATAAAAGAGTTCCATGTGTACAGTTAAAACATCAGATAAAAGAGTTCCATGTGTACAGTTTAGACTTCAGATAAAAGAGTTCCATGTGTACAATTATTACTTCAGATAAAAGAGTTCCATGTGTACAGTTAAAACTTCAGATAAAAGAGTTCCATGTGTACAGTTTAGACTTCAGATAAAAGAGTTCCATGTGTACAATTATTACTTCAGATAAAAGAGTTCCATGTGTACAGTTAAAACTTCAGACAAAAGAGTTCCATGTGTACAGTTAAAACTTCAGATAAAAGAGTTCCATGTGTACAGTTTAGACTTCAGATAAAAGAGTTCCATGTGTACAGTTTCGACTTCAGATAAAAGAGTTCCATGTGTACAGTTAAGACTTCAGATAAAAGAGTTACATGTGTACAGTTAAAACTTCAGATAAAAGAGTTCCATGTGTACAGTTAAGACTTCAGATAAAAGAGTTCCATGTGTACAGTTAAAACTTCAGATAAAAGAGTTCCATGTGTACAGTTAAGACTTCAGATAAAAGAGTTCCATGTGTACAGTTAAAACTTCAGATAAAAGAGTTCCATGTGTACAGTTAAGACTTCAGATAAAAGAGTTCCATGTGTACAGTTAAAACTTCAGATAAAAGAGTTCCATGTGTACAGTTAAAACTTCAGATAAAAGAGTTCCATGTGTACAGTTAAAACTTCAGATAAAAGAGTTCCATGTGTACAGTTAAGACTTCAGATAAAAGAGTTCCATGTGTACAGTTAAGACTTCAGATAAAAGAGTTCCATGTGTACAGTTAAGACTTCAGATAAAAGAGTTCCATGTGTACAGTTAAGACTTCAGATAAAAGAGTTCCATGTGTACAGTTAAGACTTCAGATAAAAGAGTTCCATGTGTACAGTTAAGACTTCAGATAAAAGAGTTCCATGTGTACAGTTAAGACTTCAGATAAAAGAGTTCCATGTGTACAATTATTACATCAGATAAAAGAGTTCCATGTGTACAGTTAAGACTTCAGATAAAAGAGTTCCATGTGTACAGTTAAGACTTCAGATAAAAGAGTTCCATGTGTACAGTTAAGACTTCAGATAAAAGAGTTCCATGTGTACAGTTAAGACTTCAGATAAAAGAGTTCCATGTGTACAGTTAAGACTTCAGATAAAAGAGTTCCATGTGTACAGTTAAGACTTCAGATAAAAGAGTTCCATGTGTACAGTTATGACTTAAGATAAAAGTGCACAATTTTGTGGTATCCTTGGATTTTTTACCCTTTAAATGGTTAACAAGACTTAAACCATGGAAAACAGTTTAGTATCCAAAACATTTCATGTTATACAGTGCAAGACTTAAATTTGATAAACACATATGTGTATATTATATATTAAACACTGTACATTAGCTAGTCTGACTAATAATTCTGCTTCCTAGAAATATAGAGCTGACATCCTTCACTGATAGCTATTTAAATCTGATATACAGACTGTCCAGAAATAGTTGTAACAGTTTCTCAGAAATAATACACTTTTCTAATGAAGATATGTTTATTTTTCTTGTACATTTCTTGTAAAAATAACATCATTTTACTATTTTAGACTTATAATACACTTTATTTTAAAGATCTGTGATAATTAGGGTGTTGTATACTATGTATATAACATTTTCTTAAAACAAAAAAACAAAAACTAAAAAAAATTCAAAAAAATAAAACAACAAAAAAACAAAAAAAACAAAAACATTTCAGTACTTGTTTGATATGTTAATCTTTGATTTCAGTATCTTGTTAAGCATGAACACCTCGATAAGACTGACTTCATGAACAGATGATAAAGTTTAATCTTGAAGAAGATCATTGATTGACCACAAATAACTTATATGAAATGTCACAATTATATGCAGAGATGAAATTGTAAGAAACAGGATACATATTTATATATTTTCTGTCAAGTATGATGACATTTCATTTTAAATTTTCTGTTTTCATTATGTTTGTAGAATTTGGATTATGTGAATATAATGAAGTCATTGCTAATGCTTGTTTCAGTTTCCTCAAGACTGCAGCCTGCGGGCCGGGGAGCAGTTATACTTAAGAAATGAACAGTTTAAGCGATGTTCGCGAGCCAGTGACACCTCCAGTGCTTACTCAGGTTCGGACATGATGCAGTCATCCATTGATGACCAGGAGAATGTAGATGCAGACTTGTCAGGACTCCAGGAGAGCAATGTGGATCTGGACTCGGATGAAGAGGAAGGCTATCCAGAATCAGAGGTATTTCTGCCTCAAAATCAAACTCTAAAAGCACTTGCTCTCTAGTTGTTGTTTTTTTTTTCAGATTTACAGATTGGTTAATTCTATGTAGCATTCCTAGACCAAATGTAAGAAAAATTCTTGTAAGAATTGGTTCATTTTGAAATTACTTTATATGTTCAATCATTCCCTTAACGTTTTTTTGGTGTAGTAGACAAAATTACTCTTCTCTAATGTCAGGTATGCTTGCTGTCATATTGGGACTTTTTAACCCCAACAATTACAAGGTAAAAAATTTGACAAATTAACCAAGGACGACTCAAACAAGAGAATGAAGATTTGGTGTCTATTATGAGAGATTTGGTGTCTACTATGAGAGATTTGGTGAGAGATTTGGTGTCTGCTATGAGAGATTTGGTGTCTACTATGAGAGATTTGGTGTACACATGGTGAAATGTCAGAGATCAGTTGAATATAGTTGTGGATTGTTAATTGTCAAAATATATGTTGTTATTGTCAAGAGATTTCTTGTCTACTATGAGAGATTTGGTGTCTACTATGAGAGATTTGGTGTCTTCTATGGGAGATTTATTGTCTACTATGGGAAATTCATTGTCTACTTTGGGTGATTTGGTGTCTACTATGAGAGATTTGGTGTCTACTATGAGAAATTTGGTGTCTACTATGAGAGATTTGGTGTCTACTATGGGAGATTTGGTGTCTACTATGGGAGATTTGGTGTCTACTATGGGAGATTTGGTGTCTACTATGAGAGATTTGGTGTCTACTATGGGAGATTTGGTGTCTACTATGAGAGATTTGGTGTCTACTATGAGAGATTTGGTGTCTACTATGAGAGATTTGGTGTCTACTATGGGAGATTTGGTGTCTACTATGGGAGATTTGGTGTCTACTGTGTCTACTATGAGAGATTTGGTGTCTACTATGGGAGATTTGGTGTCTACTATGAGAGATTTGGTGTCTACTATGAGAGATTTGGTGTCTACTATGAGAGATTTGGTGTCTACTATGGGAGATTTGGTGTCTACTATGGGAGATTTGGTGTCTACTATGGGAGATTTTTTGTCTATGATTATAGAGATTTGTCTTCTTTGATAGATTTATTGTTAACAGAGTTTGGTTGTTTAACCCAAGAGATTTATTGTCTACTTTGGGAGATTAATTGTCTACTACGAGAGATTTATTGTCTACTTTGGGAGATTTGTTGTTAACTGTAGGAGATTTGTTGTTTACTGTTAAACACATATACTATACACTGAAAATTGTCTTGAGAATTATAGAATTCATCCTATTTTATCAGGTGATAAGCCCATTTACATCCATTGCAGTTTCATTAGAAATACTAGTAAACATTGCCTGCATACTCTTAGTAAGTGACTGTGTTAGTCTCCTAGGCTTATTGAGGGTACAAATACCTTATATGAAAACAAAGCCATGCCCTAATTAACAGGAAGAATGACTAAGTAGATGTGGTGGGGAGATCACTGAATGTGGCTGAGTTTAGGGTAGGGGAAGGAAGAGGTGGTATGACACTGTTTATATATATGTGGCACATTAAACTTTCAGGCTACTGTTACCAAGTATAAACACAGGCTATTAATACCTTATAGTGTTCTCTACCAACAGTCTGTCACGCTCTTGCAATGTCATGAAAAATCAACAGTTACTTTGTAAATCAGATCAGTGGTTTGATGTAAACAAACAAATATCAAGACTGCATGCATTGTTTGGGGAAGAAAATAGTTGTTTCTGTAACAAATAGGCTTTAATGGTCACTGATCTAACAATAGCATTATAGAGTAGAAATTAATGCTGCCATCAAATTGCTTTTTTGTTTTGGTACTCTGCATCAGGATGCAGCATGGGATTTAACAGTAAGGTTAGTTAAGATTCAAAGGTAGAAGAGAGACTCTTTTAACTAAATGGTGTAACACCACACAGGAAAAATATTAAGAAATGAGATAATTCATAATCAGTGGTACCATAGTTAATTTTTACACTTCAATAAACCTTTTTTACCACACTGGTTGACTTTTGTAAACACTGGTAAACACATGGACAGACTGGTAGTTGAAGTCTGGGGAGTAAATTTATATGGAGACTGGTAAATTCATGAGGAGACTGGTAAATTCATACAGAGACTGGCAAATTTATATGGAGACTGGTAAATTCATACAGAGACTTGTAAATTCATATAGAGACTGGTAAATTCATATGGAGACTTTTGTGTTCATCAAGAGACTGGTAAATTCATGTAGAGACTGGTAAATTCATATAGAGACTGGTAAATTCATATGGAGACTGGTAAATTCATATGGAGACTTTTGTGTTCATGAAGAGACTGGCAAATTTATATGGAGAGTGGTAAATTTATATGGAAACTGGTAAACTAATATGGAGATGGGTAAATTGATATGGAGACTGGTAAATTTGAATTGAGATAAGTAAACAGCTGCATGGTTTGCGGAATGATATATTCTTGTGCTGACTGGTAAGTTCATGTGAACACCAGTTAAATTTTGTGAAGACTGGTTAACATTATAACATCTCTGTTATATAGTGGTCCACAAATTAAAGGATTACTGATAGATGTTGATGTTACTGAGAAGTTGGAGTGAATACTTCGGCAGATATTACTAGTGTATTGTTCTATCTGTTGTGACCTTTCGATTGTAGAAGCGCACTGTTTTCATCTTGTGTTACTTTCAAGGACTTTTCACTTAACTTATGAGGACTTCCTGTGGCAGAAAATATCATACTTTGATGTGCATTATGAAGCGAAATGCGTTGGCGTAATTTTAAAATGAAATGCTGTAATTAAATGAAAAACCTTCTAGCCTGAATGTTGTTGTTTATAGCTAAATAGCTACAGTTGTGTATAGGTATAAATATAGGGATAGAGAAAGTTTGAATTTCCTCACCAGGACAGGTCACATAAGCACTGCATAATTTGTTTTATTAATAGATACTTATATTCCGAACTCATTTTCTCACAAGAATGTCAGACTTTCTGAAAAGAACACATTATAATTACATTTTGTTGTGTTAAGAAAACAGTGATTATTTCCACAATAAAAGATGTTTTGAATCATTTCACAACTTCACAAAGGATACGACCTTTGGGCATGGGTATTGGGAGGTGATCAAAAACAATAAGAAAACAGTCGTTTAATGGGGTCAAATTTATCTACACTTTTTGTTTCATACTTGAAGACATCTCCTAATCAAACGACTAAGGTGCCATTTTTTTTGTATTCTGATGGATTACTAGAGGCAAAGAGTTCAGGAGTACCTTTATTTTTGTAAACCAGAATCTTGCCGCTCTTAAGGATAAAAAGTAATTTGTTACCATATTTGGAAGGTTCAGTTGGTCTTTTTCATGTTGGTGTAATATCTTGATTGTTACAGTTGCTGCGAGATGCCGTCCAGGAATGTCTACAAAAGGATCCTACTGATAGAACGGAGGATGATATCGGAACTCTCCTCGAGTTTATACAACATTTTAGAGTAAGTATTAAGATTTTCCTTGCTGATTTAAAAAAAAAAAGAAGAATAAAAACATTTTAATGAAACTTTTATTATTATTGTTTTACAATAGATAAGGATTTATTTTAGTTTATTGACTTGTAAATATGAAATTTATTTTGATTTTAGCTTCTTTTAAAATATAGTGTGTTCTTTCAATTTATTAAATAAGAAAAGGGCAACCTGATATATTGAATGTATTATCTTATTTATATCCTTTATAAATTTGAAAGTTAATGTTAAATAGTACCATGCTGAATCAAGGAGGGATTTATGTGGAAACAGAGAAGGATGTAATGTCCAAGGAAAATGTTTGGAAATTTCATGGTTGTTGTCCATGGTCATTTCATGGATAATTTTGACAGATTTTCCATGGAAAACATCCATAAAATATTTATGAAATGTCCATGGAAATCATGGAAAAAGTACGGCTGGGTTAATTTGATAGCCACTTACTTTATAGGCGTTCGCCAACATGACGCTGCCAATCCGACGTGCCCTCTGTTCCGTGATGGTGTTTGCTGTGGTGGAGAAACAAGGGCAGATTGTGATGAACCATGGTGAGGAACTTGACTCCTGGTCGGTCATTCTCAATGGTCAGGTGGAAATTGACTTCCCAAATGGTGCTGTAGAATTCCTACACATGGGAGACTGGTGAGTTGACTGTATGAAATGATTACACGATTTTGTCCAACATGTTTTGCTCCTTAGATATTTTCATTCAATTTTTCCCTTTGAAAAGTATGATCACTTTTAACTGAACTCCTCTTAAATAACACAGATATCAATCTTTTCAGGCTGAATTGTGCTAAAAATAGAAGTTTTTCTCAGATGTCTTAACTTCCCAAAAAAGATATAATTTTTTTTTGAACATCATTATCTTGCAAAAAGACCACATCTGATAATATGACCATCTACTTATATTGATATTTAGTAGAATTATAAATCTGTGTAATTGGACAAAATCTGTGTTTTGACCCTCTCTGTGCATGTTAAGGGCTGAGTATGGTACATTTTTTGGCAATTCATGTTTGCCTTGAAATGATTTTGTGTTATTGGCTATTTTGATGTGAAGTGATCTCATTCAACATTCTAGGAAGGATGTTTTTGAAGATCTTGTAATATTTGTTATCACTTTGACAGTTTTGGTATAACACCGACCATGGAGAAGCTCTACCACCAAGGGGTAATGAAGACGGTGTGCGATGACTGTCAGTTTGTTTGTGTGGCCCAACAGGAGTATTACAAAATTCTACACCAGGTGATATATTTTGTCAAGTTTTAAACTAAAAGCTATCTGGTAAACTAAAAACCAACTTTTAAACAAAACAACAACAGGTATACAGGTAAACCAAACAACAACAGGTATACAGGTAAATAAAACAACAACAGGTATACAGGTAAACAAAACACCAACAGGTATACAGGTAAACCAAACACCAACAGGTATACAGGTAAACAAAACAACAACAGGTATACAGGTAAACAAAACACCAACAGGTATACAGGTAAACCAAACAACAACAGGTATACAGGTAAACAAAACATCAACAGGTATACAGGTGTATATGGGCAAACCAAACACAACAGGTATACAGGTAAACAACAAGAGGTATACAGGTAAACAAAACATCAACAGGTATACAGGTAAACCAAACACCAACAGGTATACAGGTAAACAACAAGAGGTATACAGGTAAACAAAACATCAACAATTTGAGAAAAGGTAAATGATATACTGAGCACCAAGAAAAACTGGTTTCTTATCATTTATTTTACATTCTAGCATATTTTTATTATCACCATAAAATTGACTGTAAATATTGTTTATAGATTATTTGTATATAGAACACAATAATAGCCATGTTTTTGTCTTGTTGTGGTCATTTGTTTATAACGCCCAAGAAAAGAATCTGCCAAAATCATACTGACAAAAAGATTCTGGCTTGAGGTTAAATTGAAGTGAACAAGATATTTGATCAAAATTTTTGGTTTGGTACAGGGGGAGGAGAACACCCGAAGACACGAGGAGGAAGGAAATATTGTCCTGGTGACAGAACATCGAGTCTTTGACGGAGGGAATCGACGTGGCCACATTGTGATCAGGGTAAGGCTAGACCAGCTATGACTAGCCTTAAGAATTGTCAATATAAGATGCAGATTTGTATTTAATTTCCATATCTCAATATTCTCTTTCGGTGTCTTATGTTTAAAAGGATAATAAAGATGTTTGAAGGACAACACTGACCTGTTAGATTTGATGAGGATTTGAATCATTATCGTTTATTCAGCAATAATAAATGATACACAACTGATATAAAAGGCTTTGTCATTCAGGATGTATATTTCTCGATTGATATTGTTGTGTATGACACAATATGTAACAGATTGGTACAGGTTTGTCTTTTTCTGTACAGGGGACAGCGGAGCGTCTGATGCAGCACCTTGTAGAAGATCATTCGGTGGTTGATCCCACGTATGTCGAAGACTTCCTGTTGTGCTATCGTATGTTTCTGAAAGACCCTACAGAACTCTCCACATGCCTTAGACAATGGTTTGAAGATCCTGTGCTGCGACCAAAAGTATGTTACCTACTAAATTTCTGTGTTAATTTTGCCTTCACTTAAATATCTATGACTTTTTTGTTGATATTGAATTTTTGTTGTCATTTTGTAAAAATTAGGGTAAATTTGGTTATCTAATGATGTCAGCCATTCTTTGTATCTGATTCATGTGTTTGTTTTTATCAGAAATCAAAAAGCTCTAGAAGTATCGTGTATAAAAGGCTGCATTTTGAATGATTCTTTTGGCAAAATGAATATGCTTGATGCCTTTCAGTGCAGACTAAATGCAGAACATCGGAAGGATTCCGTTTGCTACTCTTTATGGGAATTTCAATCAAATTTTTTTACCAGAATACATATTTGATTGTATTTTTGTTTGCCAAACAACAGTTCCGAAATTTCACTTTTTCAGGTGACCAGGGTTGTGCTCCTTTGGGTCAACAATCATTTTATTGACTTTGAAATGGATGCATGCATGTGTGAGTTCCTAGAAAGTTTTGAAAAGCTCCTTGGAAGGGAGGTAAGTCTCTCAGAAAACAAACTTCTAATTCTGCTCTCATTGACTTGGTTTGACAGATCAATCTTCTATAAGGGTGTATTACATTCCTCTCTGAGGGTGTTAACAACATTATTTAACACTAACTTGCAATTTTATCAAGGAATGGATACTGGGACATGAATGATTTTGAGGTATAAACACTCTAATCATTATTAACATAATCTGGTCTTGATGTGGGCATAAATAATTATTCAGAGGAAGTATGTCAAGTATACAGTCAATATAGTATTCATATTTTCCTTCAGAGAGGTAAGATTTCAGAGAGTTATTGATAGTTTACAACTGAATTTCTTATAAGCCTTTTCTGAAATTTAGCTTGGTAAAAATTTGGAAAAGTAAGATTTTAGAGAGTTTTTTAATATTTCACAATGGAATTTCTAATAAGCGTTTTCTGAAATTTAGCTCGGTAAGAATTAAGAAAAGTAAGATTTCGGGTTTTTTTAATTATTCACAACTTTCTTAAAAACTTTCTGAAATATTGACATAAGTATTGTGAAAATTTGAAAAAGTGATATTTCAGATTTCAGAGAGATAACTATTATTAGTTCACAACAAAATATCTTATAAGCTCTTTCTAAAATTTAGCTGGGGGAAACTATTGATCAGATCATTTAAATGTCAACAAATACATGTACCAGTGTATATATATGGATATATATGTTTCAGTTATTATCTGACGTAAGTAAAACAGTGACTTTGAAACCTCAAGCTTATTTGTCAGACCTAAGAATTTTGAAGCTCAACTTACATCAACATATTTTTCAATGTTTTTTTTAATTTTTTTTCATCTCCATTCAATGAACTTAGTAAATAAAGTACCTATATGTTTCCGATATGGTTTTTGACACCATAGCTTGAATTTTCTGATCACTGTTCAATGAATTGCTTTGCAAATCACTGATACTGCTTTCAAAAGAAATTTAAGGATTACGGTAACATAATTAGTAGTAGTGAATTTCCATGCTTTTTGCTTTTATCAAATAATGTTTTTTTCTGCTGCTCTTTTCAAGAAAAAATTGATCTTCCAATGTATGAAAAATTTAATTCTTCGATAAGAAAGAAAACCGAAATTCTTTAAAAAGTTATGAAAAAAATTATTTATTGAATATTATAATTAGCCAAAAATAGGAATGTTAATTAGCTCCAGTAATAACTGTTGTTTTAACATCAGTATACAACTTTCAGTTTCCTATGATGTGAAATTTGTAAATAATGTATTTACTTAACCAGGAAAAACTTTTTCTTCATTCCCAGTGTATCATAAACATTTTCACAGAATATACTTTACTATCAACTGTAAATGATCAAAATTCTTAACGGCAAAAGATTTCTTCATAACTTTATCATTTGAGTCTTGTTCAAACTAAGATAAAATTATCGTGTGTTTTTCAAAACATTTTTTGCTTTACATACAGTTAAGTGAAAAAAGGAAAAAAAGAAGAATAATTTTATGAAACTGTTTTATGATACAATGGGATATAGATTAATCTTGATTGGCTTATGTGCTGTAACATGCCAACAAACTTTGATACATTAACCAGAAAATGACTGGCCAATCACGGCTACTCAACATAGCATGTGCGGCCAAGGCCCGCCCTCGTACGGTGACACTAACACGGGCCACACGGGAGGAGGTGCTTCATTTCTCTGTCTTAGGGGGCCAAGAAAGGGGATTTGGTATCTTCATCTCAAAGGTGGAGATGGCATCTAAAGCTTATGAGGCTGGCCTCAAAAGGGGTGACCAGGTAAAAGAGATTTTTCTGTTTCAACTTGCATCTTTATAATTTTTTCGTGAGGTCTGGAAAGGGATGGTTATAGTAGGAAGAGAAAGTTCTTCATACCTGAAAAGGAACACAGGAAATTAACAAAATTGTGTTAAAGATTTTTCATTGAAATTAAAAGAAGATAATTAAAATTTTCAGCATTTTTTTTTTTTTTTTTTTTTTCTTTTTTCTGGAAAATCAAATGATCAGAAAATTGGATCGGAAAATGGGAAATGAAGGCAAATTGAAACAGTAGTTTAACTACTAAAAATAATTTAGATGCTTCATGTAGAATATCGTTTTTGTTTTGAATGATGAAGGACAGATGGTGAAAACTATCTATTTCAGTGTTTTTACATAAGATTACTCTGACATAGTCATAAATTAATCTGAGGGTTTATTTCAAGTGTTGGTTAACATGATGGCGACTTAAAAAGAGCAGATTCGTATTGTTGAGTTAAAAAGCTGTATCGGTTATGTAAATCTGATATGCCTTCCACACAGCAATAATTAGTAGCAGTGGATCTATAAATAACATTTCTAACACATTTTTGTATGTGTGGATGTGGTTTTTATGTAACTTTTTTACCGACTGTATTTAGTCATAAATTATATATTCAACGGTTGTAGATGTACACTTTGACCATGTGAGATGCATTTTCAAAGGGTTTTCCAATAAGAATTTTTATAAGGAATAAATATTTTGATAATTTAAACAATACTGTTCTTTATATGTTTGTTCTTTCCTCACATCTCTTTTCCATATTCTATACTTATGCAAACATTTAATATGCGACAAAATTTCATGTTTTCAATAAATGTACAACGAATTGGTATTGCTTACGTACAGAGTTCTCTGTTGTGTTTTGTTGTATGTAACTTTATTTTGCATGTTTTAACCTCTTCTTCTGATAATCTAGATTTTAGAAGTAAATGGCAGCAACTTCCAATCTATATCCCACAACAAGGCCTTAGACACCCTTAGAGGGACAACCCACCTGTCTGTCACAGTCAAATATAATTTACTAGGTAAGTGAATGGTCAACTGATTTGATAAACAAGGGAGACAATTCACCTGTCTGTCACATTCAAATATGATTTACTAGGTAAGTGAATAATCAAGTTATTTGATCTACGAGGGAGACAACTCACCAAATTATTTTCACGCAAATCAAAAGCTATTATATTTAGCCTGAAAGAGATAGAAGATCTTATTCACAAAAAAGCAAGCATATTGGAAGCAAATATTGAGATATTGCGGCACCTGGAAATAATGATTTTGTTTCTTTTGAAGAATTTAAAGAAATGTTGCTGGCAGCAGAGCGATCTAGTAAATCAGAAAAGCAGGAGGTGAGTGGTCAGTTGAGTAAACGACAGTCTGCGCCAAACCTGGAAGACTTAGCTTCACCACTCATTAAATCTAAAGGCAATAAAAAGCAAGAGAAAAAGGACAGATCATGGTTTAACACTCTTGGGCGGAAAAATATTATAAAGAAATTCCTTCCTCGTGGCGCTGGTGTGTCTAGCATGGATGACGGGTATGTACAACCATCATGTAAATAAGGTCTTATGCTTCCTTAAGTCAGGGATTCAGTACACATTACACCTGTGATCAATGTTTAAGTTAATGCTATATACTTCTTTACACATCATACCTGTGATTTTATGCTTGAGCTATACACTACCTTTCACATTATACCTGTGATTGGTGTAAGAGTTCAGGTTATAAGCTACCTTACACATTACACCTGTGATAAATGTTTAAGTTAATGCTATATACTTCTTTACACATCATACCTGTGATTTTATGCTTGAGCTATACACTTCCTTACACATTATACCTGTGATTGGTGTAAGAGTTCAGGTTATAAGCTACCTTACACATTACACCTGTGATAAATGTTTAAGTTAATGCTATATACTTCTTTACACATCATACCTGTGATTTTATGCTTGAGCTATACACTACCTTACACATTATACCTGTGATTGGTGTAAGAGTTCAGGTTATAAGCTACCTTACACATTATACCTGTGATTGGTGTAAGAGTTCAGGTTATAAGCTACCTTACACATTATACCTGTGATTTATCTAAGAGTTCAGGCTATACACTACCGTACACATTATACCTGTGATTTATTTGAAAGTGAAGGCTATATGCTGCCTCACATATATCTTTATTTGTTTTAAAGTTATTCATTCACCAATTAAACTATAGTTTGCTCCACAACTTTTCTTACACATTCACCCACATTGAACTAACACATAAAAACATTCACATCTACTTTACATAAATGACTTATGTAGAATAAATTTGTTCACAGAGAAAGCATGAACAAGTCGGATGAGAGCCTGTATTCTGGTCCACTACGACAGATATCAACAACGTCGTCCTCTTCCCTATCACCAGGAATGAGTTCACATTTAAGTGCCAGTAATCCTGACTTATCCTCATTAACAGTAGAAGATGTGAAACAGGACATCCCAGACCATGTGGTCAAAGTCTACAGGGCTGACCAGTCATTCAAATTTCTTCCAATTCATAAGGTTTGTTGTGATCAAAAAAAAAAAAAAAATAAATAAAGATCAAAAAGATGCAAGCAAACAATGAAAAAGTACAGACGTCCTGAAAACAAACATTTTGATGTGATGTATATATTATAAAGGTTATGTTTATGTTTTTATGTGTTTTTCCCCCTCCAGGAGACTACTGCAAGAGAAGTTGTCATGTTAGCGTTACAGGAGTTTGGTATAACTGATCCCAGTAGGTGAGTGAAATGACAAAAATGATTTGGCTCACCATTAACCTGTGGACCCGTTCACAGATGGACTCGATATTACCACCTCCTCCTACAGAAGTTTTTCTTTTTTTTTATGTCAATCCACAAATGATAGAAAGTCTGACTGATTCACAAAAACTGATTGCAGATTTGTATTGTTCAGTTGTTTTGAAATATTGTGAAAAATGGTGTTTCCCACCCCTGGATTGGTCCTAGAAGTCGCATTATGTGTAAATTCACAGGAAAGGGATGCTATAGGTATCATTCATATGAAGTATATCTGTTTGTTTTTCAGTAATTACTCTCTGTGTGAAGTTACAGTCGAAAATGAAAGTTTGGTAAAACAAAAACGCTTGCAAGACCAGCTGGGAAATTTACCAGAAAGACAGAATCTCAACGGAAGGTAGGTCTATTGGTAATACTGAACTATCAATGAGGAAAACTCCGCCAGTCACATGCACAGATGTTTGTTACCCTTTTACTTGGTGAAGGTCATGTCTATGGTTACTTGGCAATATTTTATATTATGATGTTATTAAAGTTATTTTTACATCTTTTCTTCGAAAAAAATTCACTTTTCTTTTTGCAATTTTCGAATTTTCTCAGTAAATTTTTATCTACCTTGGTTTCTGAATTTCTTAGATCTTATGGCACATCTTTGATTCACTGCTTTTCCCTGTTAAATCTTTCTTTTCAATATATATAGCTTTCACTCGATCCTACATAGAGAATTAGCCTGCTTTCTTTTCTTTATTCAAACCTGTTAGAAATAAATATTGACAGTTTAAAAAGTAGCTGATACATTTGTCTATATCAAATCCTTAATATTGGTGTTGTGTTGTGATCTTTCATCCCAGTCTGAATAAAAAAAAAGTCTTTATGTGCTTGTATCTGTTTCCCAATACATTAGAGTTACAGGAGAAGGGTTATACCTTGTGAAAAATGGCTCTCTAGAATAGCTCAATATTATGAATGAGAAACTTTTTATTTTTCTTTCAAAATGGCAAATGCAAGATTTTGATGATTTTCCTGTTTTGGAAAAAACATACTCCTTACAACAACCAAAGTATTTGTGTTACAAAATATCATTCAATTACATAAAAAAAATGGTATGAAACTGCAAGAACATCTTGATTGTAAAGTAGGCAAAAGGGAGGTAACTATTTTGAAAAATGAAATGATTTGAATGAAGGGAGATAACTCCTGTCATGTTTTGAGTTATTCTTTTGAGTAAGCCAACTTTCTGTATTTCTTTGTCACATTTCCCTTGCTGTAGTAGGTTACTGACAATTTATCCCTTTAGTCAGGCCTGGTGCAGGAAACACACGTTCACCCTGTGGGATGGGTCATTTTCTCTACACCTTCCAAAATTTTTTTCACGTTAAATACTAAATGCCAAACTACGAAAAAATGCATCATTTTGTTATGTAATTCTTAAATCTTATTGTTTTAAATATTGAAAATTTATTACTGTTATGTAAATTTTGTTAAAAAATTGTTTGCATTATGAATATAGGACACCTGAAATATATATATATATATATCGTGGAAAGCGTAACATGTCTAATTTAAATACAATATACATATATCTTTTTGAGCATCACTTAATGTTTGTTGTGGCTGCCATCATCTTCATCAAAAAGCTTTGAAAAATAGTGGTTTTTACTTTATTTTTTAGATTTTGTCGCAGAAATTGCTATTTTATAATGGTCTGTTGAAATTATAAAACTGATCTTTTGCTATTGTTACTTAATCACATTTATGTAAATAGATGCTTTGGATCAGTAGATTTTGTTCATCCTTTATCCATGTAATCTGGGCATGTTTTTACAATTTTACGATCGATCATGGACAATCATCTGTTCTTTTATAGCATGCGATAAATATATTTTATAATTTTTTTTGTATCAAATTTAAATGATTCTTTTTTTTTTTTTTGTATAATTTGAAACAAAAACACTGTAACTTTGTGTTGTGAAGTTCTTGAATATGATTGTAAGTATCTAAGCCCCTGGAAACTGGCCGTAGCACTAACTAAGACCCACAAAAATAGGACTGGTATTTGGCTTCTGTACTGGTGTTTGTGCATGGATAAGAAACTATACTGTATTGCTGATGTCTTGAGGTTTGATTTATACCCGTGTTTGGCAGCTGGCTTTTTTATTCCCTTGATTTTTTGTTGACAGATAAAACAAAATCGTAGTAAATAACATGCTTCAGCTTCATCTTGAAACTAGTAATACTCATTTATATTCAAGAAATAAGATTTGTCAGTAATCAAGAATATTGCAATTTAACAATATAGGTGTTTATGAACCCTTAATGAATAGAATACATTTCCAAATGCTAGATAAAAATACTTTTGTAAAATCAGAAATATAAAAATGGGAATGTTTACATGAATGCTGGTGTGTTATGGTATGCAGGCCTGGCTTGTCAAATTATGGCTTTCACACTTACCTCCCTTTGTTTCCAATTATCTCCCTTTGTTTTCATAGATTTGTCACTGCTTGTTAAAACTTTGCTTCTAATCATCCTACATGCCTTATTTTGATTTTACCCCCATTTTTCCTCTGTCTTTGTTAAAGACAAACCTGCAGATGAGTTATTATGGACAAAGATATTTGAAATTCTTCATACAATTGTAATTTTTTGTTGAAATTATTATCCAGGGATGAGAACTTAAGTTCCAGTACATTTTATAGTACATTTGATTAATCTCAGCATGTATGGATGAAGTTAGTGTTGGTCTTATTATTTTATTTTAATAAAATCCAACATTTCAAATGGAAACCCTGTATGGATTTATGTAAACCAACTTCTAGAGAGTTCAACAAAAATTACTGGAATCGTACAAACAAGCATTTTTTTTCTGATAGTTCAAATGCATCTGAAGAACATTTTTTTCCCCCGATCAGACCTGTAGTAAATGTTCATAGAGACTTAACATTTACTGATTATTCATTGGTTCCACCCCACCCCTCACCAAAATTAGTAGATAGCAAATACTGTGTCAGATTATGTCTTCAGTTTTAGTGGTACCTTTTTAAGGTTGATATTATATAGCATAGTCAAAAACATCGTATCAATCACATGCACAATACAGAAAAAACAAATATATATCAAGACTTGCAGGATGAATGATCGCTCTCAGTAAATACAAGGTTTGCTTGGGCTTGAAACAGAAGAAAGAAGATAACTTTAGATGAAGTTCATCATCTTGTCTTCTCCTGCTCCCGTTTAAGTGAGCATTGTATTTATTCCAGATTGTATTTACGATATGTGTGTAGTGTACGTGGCAATCTAGAGATGCCATATATGGAAATATTTTAATTTTTAAGAATTTTGTTTTTCACGATTTTTGAGGACGCCATGAAATTTCTTGAAATACAATGAAAATAAAAATCAGTAGAGAAAGCCATAGTCTGTTTCATAATTCTGGGAAATGAAAATAAAAATCAGTGGAGAAAGCCATAGTCTGTTTCATAATTCTGGGAAATGAAAATAAAAATCAATGGAGAAAGCCATAGTCTGTTTCATAATTCTGGGAAATGAAAATAAAAATCAGTGGAGAAAGCCATAGTCTGTTTCATAATTCTGGGAAAAACAGGTACTGTTTGTTTTATGGTTTTAGTAAAACTGTGAGAATTTGAACCGTCAAAAAACAGGAGCATTTACCATGGATTGTGTTTCACATTTTACCATGTGTGTCTACTGTGCATTGTCATCATGTGATACCATGTGTTTGGTGTTGTTTCTACTGTGCATGGAGACCGTGCAACAACATGTACTGTCAATCTCGCTTATAACAGATTTCAGGAAACCACGAAAATTTTTTATTATTTCTGGAGCACATTATTCCCAATCATAATGTTTCATATTAAAATGATAATTTTTTTGCAGAATCAGAGTATTTACTTGTGACTAATCAAAAAAAGATTATTGAAAAACATCACTAATAGAAACAAGTCAGCTCTGTTTTATTGAAAAATGGCTCTGATAGGAATATGTCATCATTGAAAGGAAGTCTTTTATATATTTATTTGTTTATTTATTTTTTCAAAATTTGTTATTCAAGTAAAAAGTCCTATGATACATAATATACTTACCCTATATTAAGCAAATGACCTCTTACCTAAGTCTTCCTTGTTGTGGTGTTATTAGTTTCGTAATTCCTGATTTTTGTAATTATGGAAGTTGACTGTATATGTTGTTTAAATTCCAGGTTATACCAATTACTCATATCAGGTCTTCTTTTAGCTCTCGACAAGGAAAATAAAGAGAAAATAAAAATTTCCTTAAACAACTTGCATTGTATTTGGAATTCAATATTCTGAAGTGGAAAAATGAAGATCTTTTAATGGTAATCCTGATGTAACAAGCCATTTGGTCACATTTCTTCGCAGCCCAATATTTTCCTCAGGACGGTGTACCATAAATGGTAATGGCAAAATCAACTAGACAGTGTCTGTAAAGTAAAAAACTGAAAATCTATGAGAAATATTAAGATTATGATTAAATCTCAGACCACTCGAGATAGTTGGCCTTTTTCTGTAAATGTGGTTTGTTTTAATTTCAATAATCACAAACATACCAGTGACTTTAAAACGATATCTGTCGGGAGTGGAGGACGCCTGATATAACTTTGTTGTGTGGGTTTTGACTCATTCATTATTCAATATTGATTTATGTTCGATCATGAGTCAGCATAAGTTTTGTGTCAGCATTTTAAATTAACAATTCGGTGCAGTCTGGCAGAATCTGCTATGAACCAATTGGTGAAGATTAAAAAAAATAAAAATAAAAAATGGATTTGGGGGCGGGGGGGGGGGGGGGGGGGTGCCTGTAGAAGTTTGAAATTTTATGGATCGATGCATGAAGGCTTCTTTTAAATTATCCCATAGCTATGCCAGTGAAATCATTTTCCATTTTCTAGGATCTAATTGTAAAATTAATATTTTTAAATTTGTAATATTATATTTACAGACTTAGATGTGCATGCATACGTGTATCTAGGTCTGTGCTTTACTTGAACTAATGAAATTTTAGCTGATAAAGATAACTACTGATAACAGGTTTTGGCACTAGCTCTAATGAATAGTGAGTCTGTCTTTATTCTGACCACAAACTGACCACAAACACTGACCAGTAACTGACCTGGATGTGGATGTCTGTAGTTTATGTGTTTGTAACTTTTTGTGCCATTGGTTGTTTTTCCATCCTTTATCCAGGAGATAGCTGTTCAAATGATGTTTTTTTATCTTTAGTTTATTTCAAAAAATGACATCTGATATAAAAATTCAAAATTGAAAAATAAGATTGTAATTTTAACCCACCTGCCTGAAGGACAAATAAGCCATAGTATCGCATCCGTCACCTGTCCATCAACTAGCAACTTCTGTTCTTAAGAACTTGTGTATAACTGTTAGAGTTGAAGCATAATGTATATCTCAGTATTAAATTGTGATGAAGGGTATCCTGTTTGGGATTACTTTGAATGATATAAACTCTTATAACAATGTCACCTTTTCATCAATGCATAATGTTAACATTTTCTGAGAAAAATACAGTTTTTGAGGAATTGTACACATTGTGCTTGAAAGGTTGAAGAAATTTGAATAATAGCAGGAGAGCGATAGTGGCCTGTTGATGTTTTAAAGGTTAAACATTGTTCTGTAAATCTAATATTTGATATGAAAGATATTTTTCAAAAATTCCTTGTTTTATCATGATAGATGGGTTATTTGAGCAGCTAGTTCCTTGGATACTCTTTTAGAGTGTCTTTCAATGTCGTAATTATGTAACTGTGATTAACGTGTAAGATGGCCAGCAGTGCCATCGACTTTCCTCGTACTCATCCCATCTACCTCCCAAACTGCACCAGACAGTCGCTGCAGACAGTGGCTTGGTTTCCAGGGGCTAATCATGGCTGTTTTTCATTGTCACTCATCAGGCGTACTGTTCCCTGTGTACTCAGGTATTATCTCAAAAACATCATGAACACTGAGACGCTCGTTCCCGATGAACTGCGATCCGACCTTATAAAGGAGGCTCACATCAGCCTCCTCCAGCTCAACACAACAGAGGTGGCCTCTCAGATCACTCTCGAGGACTTCAAAGTGTTTAAGGACATTGAGTCATCAGAGTATGTTGACAACCTTCTTGAACTCAAGTCAAAGTATGGCTGTCCAAACCTTAAGAAATTTGAAGATGTAAGTATTTCATTAACAATTTTTTATATGTGAATGTCGTCTGCTTAGAGGTCTTCGTAGCAAATGAATATATGAAAAAAGAAAAGATTAATAAATTGTACATTTAGATCAAAATATATGCATTTTTTGTAAAGAATCGGCAAAAGAGTAGTATTTTGAATAGTTCATGTTTTGCTTTTTAGAACAGAATCTTCCTACAAATCATTCCGTCATCAGCTTTGTTATGAAAATTTTTCTGAGAAAGGAGAACGGCTTTTTAGCTTTTTCTTTTTGATGTTCACAAAATTTTCTTTGTGCAAGGGGAAAAGAAAACCCTGCAATTTAGATGCATGCCCAAGTAGTAGCTCAGCAGGTAGGGAGTTGGGCTTTACAAACTCCAGAATATCAACATTACTAATTTTTCTATTACAAAATATGAGAAAATAAAGAAAAAAGTTTCAGTTTTTGAAATTCCACTGTTTTTTCTGTTGAAAGCTGGTTAACAAGGAAATGTTCTGGGTTGTTACTGAGGTGTGCAGCGAGTCCAACATCGTTAGGCGGGCGAAGCTCATTAAACATTTTATCAAAATAGCACGTAAGTAAATTATTGGTAATCAGCTCAATTTACCAAGTTCTCTAGGTACCAAGTTTTATAGGTTAACAAGTTACTAAGTTGTGTAGGTTATCAAGGTACCAAGTTATGTTGATTACTAAATTACCAAATTTTGTAATTTACCAAGTTCTCTAGCCTATGAAGTTATTAACTTGTGTGGGTTAACAAATTACTAATTTCCGTATATTGAAAAGTTATGTAAAAAACCAATTTTGGAGAAAAAATAAAACATTTAAAAAAAACTGAGTTATTCGAATGTAACTCAAGTTGTGTTGAAACCAAATTTTGTTAGAAAGTGAGTTCTCTAATTAACTATGAGAATTGTGAGTATAAATATTCTATTAGTATAAACAGTGTTTTTGGTGCTGTCTTAATTTGTGTTAATGAACTTTTGTGAATTTGGCTTGATGATGAAATTCGCATAAATAAACAGCATACAAAAGATATTTGATTTAACATAGCTATCATTACACCTAGGTGATAAAGTGGTGACAGTGGCATCATGCTGTACTTCCTATATTTCAGGACATTGTAAAGACTGTAAAAACTTCAACACAATGTTTGCTGTCGTGAGTGGTTTGAATCATTCGTGTGTGGACAGGCTCCGCAACACGTGGGAAAAAGTACACAGCAAATATACCAAAATGTACAATGTAAGTATAGATCTGTACATATCCACCACAACCTCTGTACAGGAACTTGTTCATTAAAGATTTTAGAAATAAATGAGATTTATCCTAAGATATCCTAAAATCCTTAGGATTTTACATTTTATAGAGGATTTTATTAGTAGTTCAAGCTCTCAAGCAAGCTGAAGTGACTGAAGAAAAAAAAATTGAGAAGTTATATAAATCCTTATATGGAGATTTCATAATGTATTGGTTGTAGGGTGATTAAATTATTGCAGTCGTTTTGTTTTTTTACGTTTTATATTGAAGTCATCTTGGGTTTACGTCTGTTTTATTCTTTTGTGACATTGTCTCTGTGTGTTGGTATGGTAGTGAAAGCCGGTTTACGTCTGTTTTATTTCTTTGTGACATTGTCTCTGTTTGTTGGTATGGTAGTGAAAGCCTTTCTCATTGTATTTTGTACTAAGTTTCATTTTTTATATATTTTGCACCAGGACCTGAAAGACTTAATGGATCCCTCCAGGAACATGTGTAAATATAGGAATTTAATAAGTAGTGATAACTGTCAGCCTCCGATGGTAAGTAGGTCAATTATATAGCAAAAGATAATATCATACTTCAAAAAGTAGGTCAGTTATATAGCATAAAATAATATCATACTTCAAAAAGTAGGTCAGTTATATAGCATAAAATAATATCATACTTTAAAAAGTAGGTCAGTTATATAGCATAAAATATAATTTAAAAAGTCAGTTATATAGCTAAAATATAATAAAAAAAAAATATCATACTTTAAAAATTAGGTCAGTTATATACCATAAGATAATATCATACTTTAAAAAGTAGGTCAGTTTTATGGCACAAAATAATGTTGTACATGTACTTCAAAAATCAATATATAAAACAAAAGTTCACCTCCACATTTGAAATTTCTTAAACTTTACATACATATAAAATTGTACTGTGATCTGGTAGATGCTAATCATTTAGTTAAAATCCTTGGTAAATTCAGGAATAAAAAAGGTGTCAGGAGAAAAACAAGTGATTGGTTACCATAGAAACCTGAATAGATTGGCTATCTATGCTTTTGGTTACTGACACAAAATTATTATTGTACATGTTGTTGTCTTTACAGTTGCCATTTTTCCCTGTTGTGAAAAAGGACCTTACGTTTATCCACTTGGCTAATGACTCATATGTGGACTCGCTCGTCAACTTTGAGAAAGTCCGAATGATCGCCAAGGAAGTACGCCATATATGTAACATGGCATCAGCTAAATATGTACGTAGAAATTGATTTTTATTCTGACAAAGGCAAAAAAAAAAGTTCAAGATTGATCATTTGATCAGCTGTTGCTGCATTGTGATAAAACATAACCATGTCTTGCAAATATATTCAGATATATTCAATGTATTTCAAGCTTACAAATTAAGAATGTAATCATTTCTGTAGGTGTACAAATTTGGCAATTAAGTTTCAATTAATTATTTTTTGACTCTTTAATAGAGAAAATGATGACAAACATCATAGTTGTTTATACAATATAATCTGTTAACCTCCATTAACTGTCTTTGCTTGTTTGCTTGACAGAAATCAGTATGGAAGTCTCATGATAAATTTGCTGGAAATGAGGAATGAATGTGTTACTGATAAGGATTATGTTCATTTCAGAATGTAAGTACAATGTTCCTGGGGACAAGCACAATGTATGAGAACTCCTGGATCTCTGGAATGGCCACAATGAAACGAGTGAAGAACCGTCGTGGGTCTGCGGTTCCAAACGCAAAGAAAATGTATGAGGAGGCTCAGATGGTGCGTCGGGTCAAGTCATACCTTAGCAACATGAAGGTCATTACAGACGAGGAGAAGCTCAAAGAGATGTCACACCAATGTGAAGCTCCACCACGTAGGTCAAAGTTCAAAGTTTTCAAATTTAGCTTGCAGTAAGCCCAGGATGCCAAAACATTACCCCAGACTCAAAGTCAGAGGGTGGGCTTATAACAGGACACGGGAAATATCATTAGTTAATAGTTGTACTTAACAGCAGTAAATGTGGGCAGGCTTATTTATCAAGTGTAGGATCATTACTTGATAAATACAATATATTTTATGTTCTCACAAAAAATATTTCAATCTCTTATGAGTTTATGTTTGCTATCATGAAATAGCTTGTGATGAGAATGATGTGACTTGTCAATGACTGTTTTTATCATCAGGACACAATATTATGTGAATGATGATGCTATATCAAAATAGATTAGGACTCTCTAATGGTGTTCCCAATTTAGTTTAATCAAAGGCATGCAATATCTGAAATATCAGGCAAAATTCATCGAAAACTTAACAAAGCAAAAGCAAAATAGTTTCCAGATTTTTTCTATGAATGTTAAAATATGATAAACATCCTGTCAGCTTATCAAATGGTGTTGAATGTGACAGGGTTAAACCAGGCTTTTGACTGACAAGTATCTGTAACATTAAGATTGGAATTTTCTTTATATTAACTTTCCTAGTTGAACAGGAAATTAAACCTAAATGAACAGATTACATATTGATTAAGAAACTTCCTTAATGTGATGAATATTTCCATCTTGCAGCCATTTTCAATGTTCATGATTTCCTTGTTCGTGGAACGGCATTATTGGTTTTTTCAATATATTATTTCATAGTGGACTTGGACTTTCATTTATGCACTGATTTCTTCCCTAGTTAAGAAGACGGATGCAGCGGCTAGTGCAATAACAGCGTCTATGGCGAATCTGATGGAACCTCCCAAGAATGTAGCTAGTGGACCAAAGTTTGGTATGGAGCATGGCTACTGTATTTTTCTCTCCAACTCATTTATCTGTATTTTATTTTTTTGTTTTGCTAAGTGATTTGTTTACTTTTTTCTTTCTTCTAGATCTACTGATAACCTCTTACCTATATATATATCTATATTTATATATTACTGGAATGTATCTTTCTGTTTATTTTGGTATGACTGTCAATTTCTTTTTTGTATCTTATGCAGGTTTTGTTTTTTTCCCCTGACAAAACTTTTTAAAATGTCACATTACATCATTTTGTAGTAACCAATTTCCGTTGCTTTTTGAAATGTATTGAATACTTGATAACTGTCAGTCCAATTACTCCAGCATCAAAGACTGTAAAGGTATAGAATAATGATTCCACTTAGTAGCAGTAAATATGGGTGGGCTTATTACCAGGCATGGGCTTATTAGTGGATAAATATAGAAATGATGCCTGTCAGCATTGACAAGGTGTGGATAGTTCTTGCCCAAATTTCTCTCTGTTGATATTTAAAGAATTAAAAAGTTTATCTGTTTGAGAAGTTTGGGATTGGATCCCGAATCTGTAAGCTGCGTAAAAAAAGTTATTGGACTGACAGATTTCCCGATTGAACGTGTATGATTTCTATTACTGTTGAATGATATAAATAGCTTTATGCTTTATATTGCATCTTAACGGAATCAGCTGTTCGTTATTCCTCGTCTTCACTGTAGATTTAACATTTAGATCAATCACAAGTGCTCTATATACAATCACAAAAAATATACCAGCATACTGCTTTTATGGGGGATCATTAAAAATCAGATTTGATTCTTACGAGGAAAATTTGGTGCTTATCTTTTCGGCCTTGACCAATAACTGTCTAGATTTGTTCGTTATAAATTATGATGCAGGAAAATTAGTTCATTAGGGATTTTTATTTATATTCATGCAAGTTTATTTTCCATTCAAAATTCTTTCACAATCTTTGGCACTGAAATAAATTGAATGAAAATCCATAGGAAACAAAGAAAAGGCAGTTTTATGGTTATCAGTAGTGCGAGGAGTGAGGAACACCTTTTGCCTGGTCCCAATGTTTTGCATGTTAACAGTCGATCAATTTTCTTTGTGTATGTTAGGTGCCGAGTCTCCAGAAGCCATAAGAAAACTTATGGGTCTGACGGACAAAGTGCGTCCTCATAACTCCAAACATTCTCTACCCTCTGCTCCAAACTTAACCAGTCCGATGTCTGGGCGTCGCCAGCCCACATCACCAAGGCATGCTCGGCCGCTTCCGGCATTGCATTTATCTCCTGAAAGTTCATCTGTAGTCAGTTTAAGCAATATAGCATTGCGAAAACCAAGTCGGAATGGTAAGAACTTTGGTCAATGTTTGTTAAATGACCAGCGTGAGGCGTTGACCAGATCTGTTCTGTACTGGACAGTGTCTTTTTAACCATTGAGACAATCAATGAAATATATATTGTTCTCCTTCAACTTGCAATGATTATCTCCCTTTGATAACAATTTTCCTGTATATACAGTTGAATATACTGTTTTTGTTTTAGCATTAACACAAATTAAAAAGCTCTTATTGTTATAACCAATTGTAAAACTCTTTGGATTGAGAGCTTTTGTGTGATTTTTTTATATGCACGATAAAGGAATGTCTGAGTGGTTTTGCTTTCTTTAAAAATTATTTCTTTTAAGTTTTAATTTGAAAGAATGATGATTGTAAACTTTATTGATTGTATAAAATACATTTGTATTTTGGAAGTTCAAGTGTGTTGATTATGTGTTTTTAAGTTGCATTGATATCTGTGCATGTGTTAAGTTATACAATGCTTGTGGTGGAACGGGTCCTGCCCATGCTGAATTGGATGCTGAAACCTGGTTGGCTTGTTTGTACACTTTTAAGATAGGTCTGGCTTTTCTTGCCTCATATCTATTGGATTCATGTCTGATTTTCAGTTGTGATTCTCTTTTTGATACAAGTCTGAAAAAAGAACAAACAAAAGAACTAAAAAGTTATCATGGATTTTCATTGTAACTATCAATGGATTACCTTTATAGTCAGACCTTTGTACAGAGGTACAAGATTTATAGTCAGACCTTTGTACAGAGGTACAAGATTTATAGTCAGACCTTTGTACAGAGGTACAAGATTTGTAGTCAGACCTTTGTACAGAGGTAGGGGATTTATAGTCAGACCTTTGTACAGAGGTACAAGATTTATAGTCAGACCTTTGTACAGAGGTACAGAATTTATAGTCAGACCTTTGTACAGAGGTACAGGATTTATAGTCAGACCTTTGTACAGAGGTACAGAATTTATAGTCAGACCTTTGTACAGAGGTACAGAATTTATAGTCAGACCATTGTACAGAGGTACAGAATTTATAGTCAGACCTTTGTACAGAGGTACAGGATTTATAGTCAGATCTTTGTACAGAGGTACAGAATTTATAGTCAGATCTTTGTACAGAGGTACAGAATTTATAGTCAGACCTTTGTACAGAGGTACAAGATTTATAGTCAGACCTTTGTACAGAGGTACAGGATTTATAGTCAGATCTTTGTACAGAGGTACAAGATTTATAGTCAGACCATTGTACAGAGGTACGGGATTTATAGTCAGACCTTTGTACAGAGGTACAAGATTTATAGTCAGATCTTTGTACAGAGGTACAAGATTTATAGTCAGACCTTTGTACAGAGGTACAAGATTTATAGTCAGATCTTTGTACAGAGGTACAGAATTTATAGTCAGACCTTTGTACAGAGGTACAGGAGTTATAGTCAGATCTTTGTACAGAGGTAGGGGATTTATAGTCAGATCTTTGTACAGAGGTAGGGGATTTATAGTCAGACCTTTGTACAGAGGTACAAGATTTATAGTTTAGACATTTGTACAGAGGTAGGGGATTTATAGTCAGACCTTTGTACAGAGGAAGGGGATTTATAGTCAGACCTTTGTACAGAGGTACAGGATTTATAGTCAGACCTTTGTACAGAGGTACAGAATTTATAGTCAGACCATTGTACAGAGGTACAGGATTTATAGTCAGACCTTTGTACAGAGGTAGGGGATTTATAGTCAGACCTTTGTACAGAGGTACAGAATTTATAGTCAGACCATTGTACAGAGGTACAGGATTTATAGTCAGACCTTTGTACAGAGGTACAGAATTTATAGTCAGACCTTTGTACAGAGGTACAGGATTTATAGTCAGACCTTTGTACAGAGGTACAGGATTTATAGTCAGACCTTTGTACAGAGGTACAGGATTTATAGTCAGACCTTTGTACAGAGGTACAGAATTTATAGTCAGACCTTTGTACAGAGGTACAGGATTTATAGTCAGACCTTTGTACAGAGGTACAGGATTTATAGTCAGACCTTTGTACAGAGGTACAGGATTTATAGTCAGACCTTTGTACAGAGGTACAGAATTTATAGTCAGACCTTTGTACAGAGGTACAGGATTTATAGTCAGACCTTTGTACAGAGGTAGGGGATTTATAGTCAGATCTTTGTACAGAGGTACAGAATTTATAGTCAGACCTTTGTACAGAGGTACAGGATTTATAGTCAGACCTTTGTACAGAGGTACGGGATTTATAGTCAGACCTTTGTACAGAGGTACGGGATTTATAGTCAGACCTTTGTACAGAGGTACAGGATTTATAGTCAGATCTTTGTACAGAGGTAGGGGATTTATAGTCAGACCTTTGTACAGAGGTACAAGATTTATAGTCAGACCATTGTACAGAGGTACAGAATTTATAGTCAGACCTTTGATGTACGATGTATAATGATACCTGTAGGTGTTATATTTAAGGGGGTTTAATACTCTGGTCCTATCAGATACAATGGCAGCCATGGGGTCCAGGTCTAGTTTGTGTAAGGCCAAATCTCTACACAGTTCTGGTGATTTGTGTTAGTAGCACATTGTAATGTTTGGAGTTTCTAAGTGACGGCTGAGTAATCTTAAGAATATTATGGTTGGTGGTTGTGTAAAAGTTTGGGGCTTCAAGGTCATAGGAACATGAAGTGTTGCAGGTTTCTAGCTAGGCTGCTGTAATATGAATGATTAATGGGTTTCAGGGTCTATGGGTTCTGGCGAGTCAGCAAGCCCAACAGGCAGCACCCATAGCTCACACCAGCATTACGAGTCAGATTCTAGTCGTCACAGTATGTCGTCCAACTACGATACTCAGAGTACCAACTCTGCCAGCTCAAACAACTCACCTCCACAGCCAAGGAAGTTCTCCCATCCCTCTCATCCCTCTCATCCGCCACAGACAGGTAAGTCTTCTGCTCAGCTTCCACTGTTTATGATGCTAACTCATCCTTTACCTTCCGATTATCTATAATCAAAAGAAAAGTTTCCCGATTGCATTCCCCAAAGTTATCTCCCTTATCTATAGAGTGCAAGATTTTTACCATAACTTACAGTAGATTGCAAAAATTTCTGCTTCTAATGAAATTGTGAACTGTTGATATCATGTGGAATGTTTTACTTCAAGTCATGAAAGTAGTAGTTTGAAAAAAAAAAGTTTGCAAAATCTTAAGAATGATATTGCTGACAATGTGAACAGCTTGCTAGAATTGCAGTATTGTGAGAATGGTATGCGAAAACTCCCAGATAAAGGACATCTTGTTACGCTTTCCCAGTTTAGTGTTGTTGCTTATTCATTTCTGCTTCTAGAGCAACGATATGATACATCCCGTCTTCAAAAACATGTTCACAGGGAAGATGTCTTTAGTTTGTTCAAATAGATAAAAATGACATCAAAGGGTTATGACAGCTTTTTAAGGCAAGCTTCTTTAGCATTGGTTATGTTAATGCAGGCTGACCTAGATTTTTGTCTTTAATTTCTGGTTTCTAAGTGAGAGTTTACACAGGTGGGAGATAGTCAGTCTTCAGGGGTCCCTTGTGACTGATATTATATGAGATGGTACATCTGAACACTGCTAAAAACAGTTCATACCCATGTCTCCCTTGTGAAGACTTAAGCTTCCCGTACATAAACTGCAATCACTAACGGGGAAGATCAACTTAGCTTTTAAAGATAATTTCACTAGCATATTTAAAAAATGCTAAAAAAATAAAACTTAACTTGCTTTTAATAAGCTGCTTATGTAAAAGTGACATCACAGTAAAAAAATATATAAGTTTACTAATTTTTTTTATTATTGCTGGTATGTATGGAGTGTATTTCCTTAGGTATAATGTCAGTTGGTTTTCACTGAAATATGGACATAAAGAGATGAAGTAATAATTATCAAAATTGATTCCTTATGTGTTGATCAGCAGTCTGGATATGTAAAATTTCACTTATGATAGCACATGCTTATAACATCATCACCTGTTAACAAATATGGCTTCCCACTTGAATACGTTGGCAGTTATTTTTACTTATTTTGTAATTCTGAATTGACTTAGAGATATTAAGTAATATATGCCACACCCATAACAAAATCCGGTGCTGAAAACAGGTTTTTACTGACTGTGTCAATACTGTCACATTTCTGCCAATCATCATGTGTTTTAATCTACAAAATCAACTGGCTTGTTTTCAAAATTATTACATGATGTTATCATTGCTGAATTTAAGAGTGGTTTATTTCCGAAACCAAAGAAGTGGTCAAGCTGGACAATGGAAATCAACTGTAAATATCAAGATTGCGTAGAAACATAAGTGGAAGTATATAAAACATGTAGAGTCAGTAACAAAGTTAATGTTTTTTACCGTGATGTCTCTTTAAACAACAAAAAATCCATCAGTAATTAGGGAACAGATATACAACAAAGTAATATTTATATAGTTCAAACTTTGCCAATTTCATTGTTTTTTGAGAGAAAACTGAGGGTGGGAAGCTTTTACAACAAGGAAGTAACCAATACCATATGTTTGTGTGGAGTGATTGGTTTATCATCACAGATTGGCTAGGTAGAGCGTACATACTGATAAAGTGAGTATGTAAAAGGATAGGGCTTGTAAGTTCTGGATGGTTGGATGGCGCCGTGGTAACGCACTAACTTTCACCTAGCCCACCAGGGTTCTATTTCTGGAACGGATGTGAAATGTAAGGAGTCATCTGTCCATGGGTTTTTCCCAGGGTACTCAGGTTTCCTACCACAGTATGACCTCTCGCTTCCATCCTGGTCAACAAGAGTGATTAATATAAGCTGGAAAAACTTGTTTCGCAGTCGTTGTAAAATCAATAAAGCTTATTAAATTAGAACATACATGAGATCCATGGAGATGGGTATTAGAAAGTCTACATGTATATTGTTCAGTGAAGCGTGTCGTTTAAAGTGTTGACTCAACGTCATATTTGTGCCAATAGCCAAGGATTGGCTGGTATTATTGATTACAGACATTTCATCCGGGTTGATAATTTATGAACAGTTTAGTTATGTCAGCATCCGACTTTGTGTTGGCCGTTGGTCAAGTTATTGAGCCAGATTGTTTTCTGGAGGCAGTGACGTATATGACTTTCATATTTGGGGTGAGAGATTAAAATGGTTGCTATGTATTGTCAAGGACAACCTCCCTGTTTTGGATGATTGGTTTCTGTCTCAAGTTTACATTCAGAATGTTAATCCATCTATCTTTATTATGAGGATGTTGTTAGATTTTGTTCTTCATGACTGCTGGAGCTTACAAGTAGCTAGAAGCTTATTTTTTCCTCTCTAGAGGAATTAAGGTTAGTCTCTGACGTATAATACAACTTTAACAATGGACGGGGTTGTTAGAAAGGATAGGCTTGTCGGCGTAAAATTACCTTCCTTTCCTTGTACTGAACTTCAAAGGTAACTTTTAAGTGCTACATTCATATTCAGGTGAAACAAAAAACTAAACATTCCATTTCCTTTATTTGGTAAAAAATACTTCAAAATATTTTCTTTAACAATAAAATTATTTAATATACCTGGTATGATTTCTTAAAATTTGATATATTGGAAACAAAAATATATGTTTTGAAATATGATAATCACCTGATGAGAAAAGTTACCTGAAGTTTGAAGGACTGCTGTTCTGCTGTCGGGCCTTGATCTAGTCCTCTGCCTGTAAACCCTGTATTGATATGAAAATGCATTTTATTATTAAAACTTTCTATGCTGTCTTAGTAAACATATTGTCTTTTTCTTCTTTCAAGTCTTTCTACTGTTTTGTAAAAATTGATGTTATTTTGTAAATGTTTGTTCAAAATCTTTTTCTTCTTGTCAGACTGTCAGCCATTAGCCTGTGTGTAGAGAGTTATGGATCATGTATTGTATTTCAGCTGTTTGTATATTTGATGTATAGTCTTGTTGACTGATGATAATAGATAATTTGTTTGCTTTCTTTTTCCTGTTTATATACATCAGCCAGGAAACATTGGCTGGATGCCTCAGCCATTTCATGTTTTCTTGTTGGTAGTAGCTGGCAGCTGTTGCATTCTGTTTCAGGGCCAACACCCCTGTCTGTCCCTCACCATCACCACCATCCTACGCCTCCAAACCCTCAGCCTCCGGGGGTCAGACCCCCACTGCCGACGTATGATGTTGTCATGCAAAACTCTCCAGGTGAGGATGCCGCAGCGCGTGGCTCACTGATTGGTCCACAGCGAGCATGTGGTATCGGGTATACAGTGTTCACGTACCCAGGAGATATACTCTCACAATACACTTCACACTCTCACAAGTGCTAGCCATATAATCTAAGAAAAGGGAGATAACTCTATGTCAAGCTGCAATATATGTGTCGACTGGCAACAGAAGCGGGGCTATAGATTTCCTCTTCTTTTGTGTCAAGAAAGGACAATCTTGAGTATTTCAAGGATGTCATGAGCAGTAAGGGGAAATAATCCAGGTCAGGGGCTGCTATTTCTGACTGTAAAGGGAGATAAGTCAGCATTCAAAGTCTTTATTTAAGTTATGTATTTAAGTACAATCAATCTCTGTCAGGTTCAGATGTCTGGAGAGTTTCATTTGCTTGAAAGGGAATAAGATTTGCTGTTTGTTATCAACAAGTCCTTACAGAAATTCCTGAAAAAGAGGGGAGTTGGCCCTCATGGAAGATTTTAAATGTACATAATCTTACACCTGTATTCCTTCAGTTTAGATGTGTGAGCTAGCAGTTGTGCTCTGTGTGTGTTCTGTGTTATTTACTCTGGGTCAGCGTTCAGACATTTAATGTATGGAAACTGATCACAGGAAGAGTAATAGCAGAAATGTGTGGCAAATATTTCATGGTAAATGTCATTGTTTTGGAATTTAAGGATTAGAATTACTTTATCGAACTTTATCAGTTTTGAAGTAAAAATGACAAGAAATTAAAAAAGAAGAAAAAAAAAAGGCAAAAAATAATATTTGTCCAAAACAGTGGATTCCTGATCCCATGGACTATAATGCATGACATCACTTACTGTAAGACACCTGGCGTGTGCTACATAGTAGTTGAATTGCATGGCTATGCTTCTTCTGGTGAAGGTTGATCTGTTTGCATGCACTAACTATCTCACCACTTTATGACAATGCACCTTGTTTACACATTATGATAATGTGAATGATTTTGTTATGAAAAAAATGTCCAGCAAGTTGTCTTATAGCAAAGGAAAAATATATTAGAAGCATGGCTTAACAGAGAGCCTTGTCTGAAGGCCATTTCAGTTCTAAATTCTGAATTCCCAGCTAATGACAGTCTCCACAGTTATTTGATTAAAGGCAAGACATACAAGTAAAAAAAAAAAAAAAAAGGCAACAAAGACTTAATGTCTCTTTGTTGGTGACTTTTGATTGTTATATTGTTCATTAAAATTTTCAAGTTTTAAAATAATAGATATAGGTTTGTGTTTGCATAGATTAAGAAATATGCTTGTGAAATAATAATCAATGGACAAAGTGTTTACTGCTAAAACTAAGATGAAGAGAGTCCAGGATAATTGATAAATAATTCTTTGTGGTTAACTGTATGCTCTTTGCTCTTTATTATTAGTCAGCATAGTCATAGTTGAAGTTACTTTTTTTTTTAAACTTAAGAAGTTGAATTAAAGGGAGATAAATTGTTGGTTACCTCCCTTTGATGGAGAATAACTGAATGATTCAAGGAAACATTCATTATTGTTTTCTTTTCTCTCACATTTAAAAGATTTTACTTAACACTTTTACTTTTTATTACAATAAAAACATGAAAATTAAGATTATTATCTTTAGTATTCTAGTTTGTTTTGGAATAGAATCAGACTGAATTTCATTTTCTTAGAAATAAAAAATATTGTTTAACTTTTAAGAAAAAAATGTTAGGGTTCGTTTTGCATTTTGCTATAGGAGTGTAGATTAGGCGATTTTTTGGACTCTTCATTAAACTAAATCATAAGCCTCATTTTAGTTAATTGTACTGGGCTACACATCTGCGCTGTATCTTGATTATGATATTTTGTGACCCAATTTAATTGATCTTATCAAATTTCAACAAAAAGATATATATATATATATTTTTTAAGTGAAGGTTTATGATAAGAAAATGAGATACAAATTTCTCCAGTACATGTCTAAAATAACAATATTTTCAATAACAAAAAGATTGTCTTAGAATTGGTCTCTGACCATGATATTATCTAAAAAGTTCATATTATGTATTTGTGTTATTGTACTTTTTAGTGTACTTTTTGTACCGTTAATTTATCAGAAAATAATAAAAAGTTGGCATTCTTCTGAATGGAATCTCTAAAATTTGTTTGAATAATCATCCAGCAGCTTGGGTGAGACAATCTTTTCTGTGAGGATTTCTGCTTCTAAAAGGCTCAGATGATGATGTATTTTTCAAAATATAATTGTACTGAAAATACAGTAGAATAGTCAAAAAATGAAGAAAATATTATGATATATTTATTAATATTAATAGGAAATCAAAAACACAAAATTTTTTACAAAAATAAGAAAAAATAAAAAAAAAAAACAAAAAAAACAAAAAAAATTCAGGAAAATAATTTTGTTTGAATATTTTCTGGCAGTTTTTATGTTACATTCAGACAAGTTGTATGTCATTTTCTTTGACCATATATATAACTTGATACAGATGTAGTACAGAAATGTAGCCAGACATTGACGATAAAAAGGCAAGCACACCTTGTACTCTTTTTATATCACATCACCACTATATTTAATATTGAATCACTGCATCATGCCATCTGGAAGGGCATTACAGAGTCCCTGTTACACTGGATGTATAATGTTATGTAGAGACATAAACTAATCTATTTCCAGTATTTATTTGGAAAATAAAATCACAGTTTAATCAAGTTTGTCTTGAGGATATATCTGCTTGAACATAGTATGTGGTAGATGGTATCAATGAACTTTCATATTGATGAATTGACAAGCTGTGTAGTTTCAACAGTTAAATCTTTGTTTAATATTTTCTGTGTTATGAGCAACACATGTTGAAATAAGAAATAAGAAATAAAAGAAAACCATAAGTTGTTTTCACATGTGCATACAAAGCATAAAATTTAAATTTTAAGTCAAATAGTACAGGCAAATCAAAATTCAGATCAATTCAGATTCAAATTACTTAAAACTTTCTTTAGAAAAAAAATCCTTTCCTTGATTAAATATGAGAATTGAAAATGTAATTTTGTTTAAGATTTTGGTTTTTTTTTTAGACCTTTGTTTATTGTTTATGCTTAATTTGAAATCAAATCTCGTTAAAAAAAAGTTGATAAGTCGTTTTTGTCAATATAAATATCAAAAGTCACCACTGATGATTACTGTTTACGTGAGACTGTGGGACCTTCATTGTTGTGACTGTTTATTCTGTCTGTTGTATCACTTGATAAGCTTATACTATATGTCAGGTGTTCCTTCTGCCTTTCCTCCGACAGCCTATAGCCAATATATTCACCACACGTACACAAACGTAAGACGTCCACCTCTCCCTGACTACCGCTCTGCTACGCAAATGGCGCAGTATGCCCGCCAGAAGCACACGTGGCAATTGGAACGAACACGCTCGCATGATGGTGTTGTGGGCTACCAACAGAACGGCGAGATCTCGTCGGGTGATAGACATTACAGCTCGTCAATGGATGGTAGGTGACCTCCCGTTAGGGCCTCTGTGTGTCATAGGGTTGTATGTCCTATATATAATGGCGGGATTTTGTAATCATATGTCTTGTCTGTTTGTCTATGCGTGTCCATCTTGTTTTGTTTTTATCGTGTCTCATGGCAGTCGGTGTTATGGCCCTTGTTGTGTGAGTTACATTTTTTGTGTAACTGCTTTAGTGAAGATTCTGCCTGTATTGCTTTGTTTTTGTATGTTTTAAGTGTTTGTGAACTTCCCCTCTGGTTCAGTATTAGTATAAAGTCACAAACAATTAATTCTAATAACAATAGAACATTATACGGCTACGACGATAAACAACCTAATGGAATTCACTTATTTACAGCTTTTAGCCCATCAGCATGGCCAGGTGATCAACTAGACTCATAAATCTCAGGTTTGTCGTGTTTCAACCCTGTGTGGGAATGAAAACAAAATTATCTCCCCTTTATTCCTGAACGACACCAACAATATCACACCAATATTGACATCTTCAGTATCTAACATGCCTTTACAAAATAAAACCAGAGCTGGCCTGATGGCACCATTTTGTAAGACACGACAGAAGTACAAAGATAGGAATATTTTATAAAACAAATGGAAATTATGTCACTCCAGCTGATAACTTCAAGTAAGCATGAAAATGATTTTCTAAAAAGTGTTCTGAAAGTGTATGGAATCCTACTTGTAATGTTTGCTTTGTTACAAGGATTTTTTTTTATATATTGAACAATTAAAAGTTTTTCCAAATTAAATTTGTCATACATATGTGAGAAAATCTATTTGTGCTTTTTGACTGGAAGTATGCTCAAAATTAATTTGATGGTTAAATTTTTTTTTTTTGATGTAGGCATTTATATCTGAATAAGTAGCTGGGTTCCAAAGCTGAGGTTTTTCTTTAAATTGGTTTTGAAATTTTGTAGGATTTTTGGGTAGTAAAAGTAATAACTTCTACGGCGATTTTAGACTGCAGTGGTAGTAAATTCAATGAGGACCTTTTTGAAGTTTTTGAAAGTTCAAATAGAAAAATGATTGTTTTTATTTTAAAAAGAGGACAACAATTAAATTGAGGTATTCAAAATCAGTTTTGATTAAATTAGTCAAAGTATCAAATTTTGCTCAATATCATTTATGTGTGAGAGATATTATTAATTGTCCTTACTGTTTAGCTGATGGTAACACTGATTACTCAGTATCCTTTTAAAGTAAGATGTGTGGCAAGGAAGAATCAGATGTTTGATACCGAGCAACACAATGAGAACGGGGTTAGATTTGTGTAAAGTACTTTTAACATTTCATTTTGTCAATGGAAGACTGTCATGGTTGTAAAAATGAAAACAAATTAATTTGCATCACAAATGGTTAAAATTCTAATCCTTCCACAAATAGCATGCTGTTTCCCTCCTCCCTGACCCCTTCCTCAGAATCACTAACAATTAACCTAAGGGAGACCTTCACTAAGTGTTGGCCAGGTGTTATACTGATGGTGCTGACCTATCTTTGTAGTGGTATCATGTATTAATTTTCATAAAACATTAGTGTATAAGTCTGTACAGTACGGCTACTCATTTCATCCCAAGGAAATTTTTCTTGGTATGGTTTGTTTATTTATAGAGGCGGAAATTTTTTTTTTTTTTTAAACTTTAGTGTATATATGTCTGTTTTTCAAAAAAGAAGAAAAAGTGTGATATTGGGGTTTTAGTTTTTGTAAATGATATTCAAAGTTTCAAATTTATGATCTGTAGCAAAAAAATCCCCTTGAAAGTCTGTTTCCTGATTATGACAACAAAATTTCTTTATTTTGTTTAATTGAAATGTGTTTCCTCTTTACTACATTATATATTTTCTGTTATATATAATTAATCTAGTAGTTTCTTACTAGCAAATCCTGACATTATGTCTTTGCATTTGGCATGCAATATTTATCTTTTTTCTTGAGTGTATAATTACGCTATGTTAGCTTTGATGGTACCTCTGTATAAATTAGGTATGTTACAACATCGTTACAAAAACTGCTACAGGTTTGATTGTTGTGTTGGTGAACACAGGTGTTAGGAGGTTGGTTGCATGTTTGTACAGTCAGTAATATAAACTTGTTGTTTGCCCTAACAGATGTTAAATTTTCAGAGTTGAGAAAAAATAATCTTTCCTTTTGGATATAGAAGATTCCGAGAGCTAATTCTCATTAAGGATGTTGTTGACAAAATTTACATAAACTGAAGTGAAATACAGAATAGAAGGGACAGACATTGTATCCAATTTAAATTTATTTCAAGATAATCATGAAACAGTAGATTTAACAAAACTAAAAATGTTTTGTTGTTTTCATGGTGATATTTAAGAGCACAATTTTAAAAAGATGATTGTGAAAAAGGAAAACTAGGGAATAACCCACTCGTAATTGAAATGAACACCTGCCATTTTATCACAAAAGGCATCTCTTCATTCATTACACCTGTATTAGGTTTCACTGCATATATAAAATAGGTTTATGTTAAACTATATCATTACAAAGTCATAGAAAGCAGACCAAGATCAGAATTCTGAAGGGGGTTCCCCATATGTTTTACAATTTTTGCTGTATATAAATTGCACTTTTGACAATGTCACGAGAAAGCTTTTGCTTTAAATGTACCTCAGGCCCTCGATAAAACGGTCTAAATATAGACTGAAATGGAAACTTTGCAAGATGTGTGTATTCAGCTGTAAACCTCACTTATTAAATAGTCCACTCCTCACAGCTACAGATAAAGTTTATGTCATCCAGAATCCTTATTTTCAAATCTTAGAAGTACTTTACTTTTTTAATTGGTATAGTCAGAAAAATTAATTTTTTTTTACTGTCTTCACATAGCCAGTATCAAACTTAGATCTGTCTGTTATATTACCCAGAGACCTAGAGTTTACATTCAGATCTGCCTCCAAGACCACCTCTGTAAAACTATTAACACAAAACTGAACCTCTATGATTAAAGGCCTTTTTTCTCTGCTGAATGACCTTTAGACAGGTTTGAATGTATTTAGTTAAATATCTTCTCTCCATCTTGTTAACATGATGAACACAGTATACAACACTGTATACAAGAAAAGTGAAATGTTATCTCACACGATATAGTTCAAATATAGTCAGTATAAAGGATTTATAGAACTTGCCATACACAGGTCAAGAAATCTCTTAATATTCATATTGATTTTATACGAGTTAGTAAAATTCAAATCTCTTCAAAAATGAGCATATTTTGCCTATAGTCTGATAGGACTTATTGTCGATTCCCAATGTGTTGTTTTGGTGTCTTCGAAGTGCTATGGCATCTGTTGTTGAAAATACAACTTATTATTATGAGTCTGATTAAATTCAGAAGATTAAATCAAAGATTGAATGTTGTTTGATTTAGAAAACAATAACTATTTCAGTGAGGTTTGATTCAGCAGTTTGTTTATTTAAAGCGATTTCAAGGAGGTTTGATTCAGCAGTTTGTTTATCTAAAGCTATTTCAGTGAGGTTTGGTTCAGCAGTTTGTTTATATAAAGCTATTTCCATGAGGTTTGATTCAGCAGTTTGTTTATATAAAGCTATTTCAGTGAGGTTCGATTCAGCAGTTTGTTCATCTAAAGCTATTTCAGTGAGGTTTGATTCAGCAGTTTGTTTATATAAAACTATTTCAGTGAGGTTTGATTCAAAAGTTTGTTTATCTAAAGCTATTTCAGTGAGGTTCGATTCAGCAGTTTGTTTATCTAAAGCTATTTCAGTGAGGTTTGATTCAGCAGTTTGTTTATATAAAGCTATTTCAGTGAGGTTTGATTCAGCAGTTTGTTTATCTAAAGCGATTTCAAGGAGGTTTGATTCAGCAGTTTGTTTATCTAAAGCGATTTCAATGAGGTTTGATTCAGCAGTTTGTTTATCTAAAGCTATTTCAGTGAGGTTTGATTCAGCAGTTTGTTTATCTAAAGCTATTTCAGTGAGGTTTGATTCAGCAGTGTATTTATATAAAACTATTTCAGTGAGGTTTGATTCAGCAGTGTATTTATATAAAGCTATTTCAGTGAGGTTTGATTCAGCAGTTTGTTTATATAAAACTATTTCAGTGAGGTTTGATTCAGCAGTTTGTTTATCTAAAGCGATTTCAATGAGGTTTGATTCAGCAGTGTATTTATATAAAACTATTTCAGTGAGGTTTGATTCCGCGGTTTGTTTATATAAAGCTATTTCAGTGAGGTTTGAATATATAAAAGCATTTCAGACAGGTTTGATTCTATAAAACTATTCATTATTAACGATTATGTTAAAACTTTTTCAAATTGGTTTGAATATATAAAATCATTTCAGACAGGTTTGATTTAGGACTATTATGAATCCATAGAATTCCATAGAAACTATTTCAGCCAGGTTTGATTATGTAAACCTATTTCAGCCAGGTTTGATTATATAAAATAATTTAAGCCAGGTTTGATTATATAAAATAATTTAAGCCAGGTTTGATATAGGACTACTTTGAATCCATAGAATTATTAAGAAAAACTTGTATAGCAGTTTTTGACATGAAACTCAGTCATATTACTGGAAGTTGTCAGGAAGATACTGTAATAGCACATGGTTGTTGTATGAATGAATCTGACTATGAATTTTTTCTTTCATCATTCACTGTAACTTTTCACATCTGACATTTTTTTCATGTTCTTGTAGATGCTGAAGAAGAGCAAGTGTCTGCTGTATGATAGGCAGATGCGTTCTTGAACTATCACACACTGGTCAGCTGAAGGTCAAGCCTGGACATCAGTGTTCTGCGGCTGTGAGCCAGTGGTCAGCATGGACGAAGTGCAATATGAGGAACAAGTTTTGTCTGATATCTGTGATAATGTGTACATGGAAGGAGGGCAGTCGTCACTCGTGGGGGAAAATGTCTCCCATCTTGTGGAGTCCGGTGGATCCTATGTGCTGCATCATCATATTTAAATGTCATTCATGGTGTTATAAAGCACATAATAATAAAAGTCTCCTGGGAATCTCACGGTATAGCATTGTTGCCTGGAGATTTCATATTTCATCAATTGGCAGCATGCAACCTTCACTTTCTGCTGCTTGTGGATTTGATGGAGTTAGACATGTGGTGAGCAGTACGGTCTCGTGGAATAATCATTTACTTGATCAAGAAAGGTTCCAGACTGTCACATTAATACATTATAATATACATCTATCAAGGCATGATTTTCTAGTCGGCTTCTGTAATAGTCATCGTTGGAAATATGACAATTTCTTGCAGATTTATAAAATCTTATGTACATGATGGAGTCCGTGCTTATGTCATGTCAGATCTTTTTATGGCGGGCGGTCAATTCATCATTGTCATCCTGATCATGACTTGTCATCATTACCAGGCAGTCTGGAGATATAGTTGGTGCGAATCTCATTGAATGCCTATGGATTATCAGCATGACCAGTGGATTGGTTCTGGGATATTACTTATGGTTTAGACATAAATGGTCCCGTGACCATACGACATGGTTATTGACTGTGATACCGAATCTCCATTATATTTTAAACTATAGTGCAATTTTTCAGGAGAGAGGTGACAATGATTTGGTCTGTTGTGATGTGAAAGACAGGTGCATTGTGGTTCACTTCAAACTTCACCTGGTGAAGAAACTCTAATTTGAAAGTGTTGCCATCCAGCGATGTGATTATACACGTATGGATATCATATCTAGACCAAGAAACTGAGACGATTGACCTCCGCCGTGTGACTAATTGACACTGCGATGAACAATCAGCAGCCAGTACTGTATAAATACATACAGAGTGTAAGACACTCTCTCTGTAAGGCCAGTGATATTGTGTTTACGCTGGGGATTTGTTTATACAGTGTAGCCAATTTCTGATATTGTCAGGTTATTCAATGTGACATTAGACGACAGTGCCAAGGTTATGGGTCACAAGGATGCAGTCTTTCTGTTTGAATATGACCCCAGAACCTATACAACAAGTAGTGCTACATCTGAGAGAGGACATCTCTCCTCTTTTATACTCTGTAAATCTATGCATTTGGTGCCATTTCATTTGGTTTTGTTGTTGTTGATGTTATTGAGAATTAGCACGGAGAGCTTCCTTATTTATACTGCGTCTGTTATTCAAGCCTCAAGCTCTGTGTTGATGTAATTAGCAAAATTAATGAGACATTAAGAAAAAAATAAGTTTAATAATTGAAATATTAAGAAAAAAAAATTATCTTTTTTTCCCTACACAGCAGTTATTGATTATTTAGAAATTATTTCATGTATTTGTGCATGGTTTCAAAATGACAGCTATCTTATTCATTAGAAGAATTACGAAACACTTCATGTGTATTAATTAAGTTAATTATGGTGGACATAGTTAAACCAGACTGGAGAGATCATCTTTCCCCTGCCACATTTTCATTCTATTTATTTCCTTCATTCGCCCATATGATGTACGTTATCAACTCCTGTATAGATCATACACCAGGTTGAAATATGTCTCTTATGTTCCATGGAATTCTGTGTTGCCGGCAGACATTTCAAGTATTTCGATAAAAATAATATGTAAAAAAAAGTGTTTAGACTGCTTTTGCTTTGAACAAATATCCATTTAAAAATTGACTATTTTTCTGAATTAATCAGAAATGATACCCCTCTACCCAAAATGAAATGACAGTTTGTATTGAACATTTACGTTACACAGAAAATATATACAACATTATTTTTCCCTTTATTTCTAACGTAATTTATTTTCTTCTGTTGTATTTTTTTTTATATTAGGTTTGTAACAAGATATCGACTAGAAATCTAGGAAGATTTGAAATTTTTCCAGAAAAAAAAAAATCTATGGGGAGCTGTTAACTTTTTAATACTAGGTTATTTTGAAACATGTGTATAGGTAGTAATATTTTAGGATTCTACTGCAAACTGAAAATTTGAATTAGGGTAGATATATATATTTAAAGCCTATTAACTGTAACCCTAAAATGGGTATTTTTTATTTAGCTGATCTGAATTTTTTTTTTTTTTGAAAAACTGGACACTAAAAACTATTTTGTCACAACTTTAATGCTAATGTATTGATAGATATACTTCCAACAGATGTCTGGTAAGTAAAATTATCAATATCTGTTTTAGATTTTGATTAGGCGACAGAACAAGATAAAAGACTTTAACAATTATTGTTTGACACTGTTTACAGGGCCACAGTTAACATGGGGAGGTTGCTGGCAGGAGTCAAGTATTTGTATATTCAGGATAAGTTATCGATTAAAAATTTTCTGGACAGATATTTTCTGTATGTTATAAGAGATATTGAGCCTATGTAGAATATAAAGACTTGATAGTGTTAAGTTATTGAAGTGTATACCGGAGGTTATCAGTTAAGTATTCTTGCCCTGTGTTGTGTTATGTTATGGGTCTGATTTCATTAGACAGTTTTCAGTTTGTAAAAAAAAAAAAAAAATTATTACATAATTATCACACAAAAGGTAGTATATCCAGCTATATCAGCTTTCGACTCACAGCAAGTCGACCAGAGATTTTTGGAAGAAGTTCAATTCAGGAATACCGAAATGACACTTTAAAGATTGTGTTACAAGCAATTGAATAATATTAGGTGCCTGAAACATTAATTGCACTCAATGAAAAAATTATAAACAAATGAAACCTGCACCACAGAAATTTATCTTGTTATTTAATCTGACCTAAATTAAAGACTGAAAAACCTGCACCACAGAAACCCATCAAAGCACAAAAATAAATGGAACCAGTTTTTGCCGCTTTCCGAGATGTCCTAGTTGGTAAATAGTATTCATTTCTGGACAGACAGCAATATGTATAGTGTTCTGTGGAACTATATTGCCGGACTCAGCCCTCCTGTTTTAGTACGAGAAAACAGTGATTAAGTAATGAACTAATTTGAATGTATTGATATTTGTTTAAGTATGTATATTTGACTTGAGTCTAAAGATTTGCTCATGACATGGCAGGATTTTGTTGTTGTAGAGGGGCTCGGCAATATATATTAAGGGTGTTGTTTGACGTGTCGCTGTACAGCTACAGTGAACTCTGATGTATACAGATCTTAGATAATACGCTGATAATTATGTGCATCATGCTAATACAATATATGAAAATTTTACCAAGATATGAGATTTGTGTAAGTTAGTGCCAGAGGATCTGGTATGTTTGGGTCTAGAAATAGAAGTTGAGTGTGGATAAATGTATATGCAAATTAATGAAGAGTTGAAAGTTTGCGCGAGACTAAATTAGTCTTTAGTTGAGTAAAAGGACTTTAGTACAGAAGTATTGTGAGCAGAATGAGAGTGTTATTTAGTTGTTTGCTGAATGGAAATGGAAAAGTTTAGGTCATTTGTTGCATTTCAACAGCATTATCACATTTAAACACTGAAAAATATCATATAGCCAGTCAAAGATTGACTTTATCATGTAATGTGTTAACCATACTGAAAATAAGGAGATAATTGTACCAAGCAGATTTATAGAAAACTGGAACTTCATTTCTACACTTCTATATCAAAGAAATTTACTTCATTATATTAAACTTGAAGATAACCGTTTCGATTCAATATTTTTTTTGTCAAGTGAATTTTAGAGGAACTAAACTTAATTCACAAAAGACAAATTTAAAAAAAAAAGCTTATAACTTTAACTTGTAATTGATATTAATGGAACATGATACAACATGTCTTTGTAAAATTATTATACAAGAGCTTTTGATTGATAATTGTATTAAGGCTATATGCTACCTTACACTATAAAATCATGATTTGTATTTTTCCTTAAACATGATTTACATTATTTCATAATCACGATTACATTATTATACCTTTACAATGTAACACCAATCAATATCAAACTAGGTTTTATTCCTGTTTGACAGGGTTCTTCTTGAAGAAATCTTTTGTAAAGAAGGAAAGTGGTGTAGTAAGGTAGCATATATCCTTAAATAAGATGCTCTGGAGAGTTTTAAAACATGGTTAGAATATTTACCGTCAGAAGATTATATACATTATAGTCATGATAAAGGTTCTCATCATATCATATTTATTAAGTTTCCTGTAGGAATGAGCCCCACCTTCAATATAACTATATATCCTGGTCCATCTACCCAAGGATATCAAATACTCTGTCAGATCTTGGTTTTTTATTTTACTTCCATTAATCTAAAAATAGTTCAAGAATTTTAAAATGCTTCTATTAAGTTTATGGAACAATTACATTGGCTCCCAAGCATTTCTGCCAATATTTAGTTTTTTAATATTAATTTCACTTTCACATTGTGTTTATCATAAAACTGAAAATTTCAATACAGAATAATGATAGATATATCTAAAAAAAAAAAACAAAAAAACAGAAAGAAATTCATTGTAGATGCATTTCAACATGCATTTACAATCCTTTTGGTATTGAAGGCACACACTCCATAGGTTATAAACATTGAGGTGATTATGATTTGTAAAATCATAGGTCTTCCCTTGACATTTCCCATCATGCATTGCCATTTCCATTGTCATATATTGAATATGTTGAACAGAATAAAACATGTACAGTTTATAGTAATGATCCTGGTGGTTCTAGTTTTTTGTCATTGTTCACACAGTCTTGTATTACAGGTATTTTTTTAGTGCACTATTATCAGACAGTGAGCTATTCAAATCGCCTTGCGTCTGTGGCCCATTGCCTGACCATCCATTCATCTGTGCTAGAAATGATTCTTCATTGTAATATTCTTAAGAAATATTAGATGGAATCGTCTCAGATTCCAATTAGTCCCTAGTCATGGTTTTAAGAATTTGGGAGTGATCCGAAAAATTAAATGATTTTGACATTGAAATTTTGATGTTGCTATTAGTCTTAGTTGTGCCCTTTTACTTTTGGGACTGATCAGAAAAAATGGCTGCCAGCCAGCCATCTTTGATTTTTGAACTGAAACTTTGTGATCACCATTTCTTGAGAAATGTCAACTTGATCTTTGTCCAATCACAAATATACGATCCCATTGGTTCCTAGTTGTGCCATTTGAATTTTGGGACTGATCAGAAAATTATAATGATTGCCAGTTGACTTTCTTCGATTTTGACAGTGAAAGGTTTTTAATGCTATTTCATAAGAAGTACTTATTGAATTTTTCTAAAAGTTATTACTCTGAAGTTGTGTCCGTTTGATTTTGAGATTTTCCGGAAAAGAAAATGGCTACCAGGCAACCATTTGTTATTTGACAGTTAAGGATTTACAATTGCTTGAGAGGAATTTTCAAATTTTAATAATAAGGAGCAAAAACGTGAAAGAAGGAAAAGAAAAGGAAAGATTGAGGAAAATGCAAATAAATGTGTGGGATCTTTGTTTATATGTGGATGCAGGAATAATTAACCAGTGATATCAAACAGATTTTACACAAGATATCTGGAAATATTACATTATTACAGTGTAAGTATTTAAGTATTAGAATGATTTACCAACACTTCACACTGTTTCTTACTTACACTGTACATGGTATCTAGTACAACTTGTCATATACTGTTACATAGCAGACCTTTTATCATTGTCAAACTGATCACATATCACAGAGTTAGGATCTCGTAAGATCTTCACTGTTATCATTGTCAGACTCATCACATATCACAGAGTTAGGATCTAGTAAGATCTTCACTGTTATCATTGTCAGACTCATCACATATCACAGAGTTAGGATCTCGTAAGATCTTCACTGTTATCATTGTCAGACTCATCACATATCACAGAGTTAGGATCTTGTAAGATCTTCACTGTTATCATTGTCAGACTCATCACATATCACAGAGTTAGGATCTCGTAAGATCTTCACTGTTATCATTGTCAGACTCATCACATATCACAGAGTTAGGATCTTGTAAGATCTTCACTGTTATCATTGTCAGACAACACATTTCCCAGAGTTTGGATCAGAGCTAAGACTTGTGATTACTTGGTACTGGACCTCTCCTAGATTTTGAATTTCATTTTGATAGCTTTGGATTTTCCTCTATTGCCTTCAAAGCTTCAAAATTTAGGCCCCAAGTATGACTGAAGGACAAAACAGCTGGATTGTTTGGTTCTACTGTATCTAAATTACTGTAAATCTTTTGAACCTTCACACTTTGAACTTTCAAACTTTGAATCCTATCACTTTGAACCTTCACACTTAAAACTTTCTTCTTTAAACCTTCTTACTTTGAACTTCCACACTTCCGAGTTATACTCCAAATCTATTAAACTAGGACAGAACATGAAAAAGTAAGATTTATATAGAAACCCCTGTAAAATAAGAATGAACGTAAAACCAGATGTTCTGGACGGACAAGCATCTTCTTCGGTGGGAACAACTTAACAAAAAACAGAACAACCAGGAATATTAACGAGCATCAAACACCTTCAACTTCCTATTTCTTGACAGCAGTATTCCAGATTGTTTATACGGTAATGGCCAACCTTACATAATGTCTTGGCTACATTTTAGAATGATATCGATACTTACTGCATAGCCTATTGAAGAGTTTCGATGTTATCTGTTTTATGTAAATAAATAATCACAGGACTGGTGTTAATATTGTGTATTTTTAGTGGAAGTGTATACATGTACCAATAAAACATCCTAAATAATTTCCCATTGTTTTCTTTAAAAAAAAACCAACCAACCAAACAAATAAACAAAAACAAACAAAACACAAAAACAAAAACATTCAATATAAATATAAACTTAATTTATTTTACAACAATTGTGAAATAAATTATCGGTTTATATTGATCACTCTTCTTGGCTCAGATGGACGCGTGCAGGATGGTGACCCCTTTACAAGTCCGTACAGGGAATCAAAACCTGGATGACTAGGTGAAACGCGAATGGGGTATCATTGCGCCACCCGACCACCCAAAAATGTGCAATGTTTGTCACTGTAGCAGGTTTGTTAACATGTAAGTGAGCGGTTTTTTCTACCTCTTATCAATCACCCAGTTAGATAACGTCCCTGAACAAACATGTCCGGCCTTAAAACGGAGATAATTCACAAGTTCTTCCGTAACAAATGTAACACGAGGTAACTGTGATACAATTAATATTTCAATTAACTGGACCCTAATTACTTAAATGTTAATTTGTTTTTATTGTATTTTTTCTTAGTTCATTTTTCTCCACTTTGCATAATTATCTATCCATAAATAGATCAAAATATTTTTATCAAGGAAAAAAAAATGAAAAACGGATATGATTTATTTTCTTATCTGTATTTACACGTGACATAAACCCGCTCGGCAGTGATATATTACCCTGATAACATGGATACATATCTGTATAAAAAATTGTAAGAAGTATGCGATGACTTGGCTGTTATAAATCATCCTGAATGGGAAGGTCATTGAGGAGATCTGATATCACGTGATGTTATATTATGTCACCAGATAAACATTTCTGTAGCAATCAATATGAAATACGATGTGTTCTGTTTTGTAAGAGTGTCAGTTTAAGATCACCTATTTTAAACAGATTTCAAATTTTTTATTTGTTTTAGCTGAAACGTCAATTCTTTAAATCGTTCTTCGTTATCACGCTTGTCGAGAAAGAGAACAGGGAATTACTTAATACACCCTATACAAATACTGGTTGTAGTATTAGGTATTTTGTAGTTGAATTATAAAGTTACAAAAACACACAAGCTATATGTTTTCCAAACGTGAGTGCGTGGAGTGTCCTTTCAGTCAAAATCGAGTCTGTCAGCCAATCAAAACATGGTTAAGTGCTATACCACACGTGGTAGAAGATTAATGTATATACATAATAAATATATATATATATATATATATAATTGAAATAAATTTGAAATTGAATATAATAGTTTAAGTGAATAATTGATGTCTAGAGAGTTTAACAACATCTACCTATTGTTGGAAGGTAGAATAAACAGCAGCAAGACAAATTTAATGATTCAATGAAGTATTTTATTGTGTAATCTGATAAGCAATACCATTATATTGTAATTTTAAGAGACAGTAACAACAATATGACATTAGTATGACAAAATTACATCATATTCACATTCTTAAAAATCTAATTTGCCTTGGCAGTAAGCTTGAAACATAGGAATAATTCTGAAGGATTTCAAATGTTATTTCATGAAAAAAAATATACTGACATTCATAACAACCCAATACTCTGCAAACTTGACATAGGATTTCATAATTATTGATATCTCTCATACATTAACTCTATCATGGTAAGGACATCGATATCGATATCAATTCACTATTGATGACATCAACAGAAATATTGAAAAGGATTCGGAGTAAAATTTGCATACATTTTATATGAATGATATATGTTATTCTTTTCAACAACATTTAAATGTCTGATTTCTTCCGTTTTACATGTTTCTTATTTTGTAAGTTAGGTACCGTGGGACGAGAAAAACAAATTCACTTGAACATATTTTAAAAACAAGTTTTTTTGTTTATTTTTGTTTTTCTTTCAAAATCAGATATATAAATATCTTTTCAAATGTGCAGCATAGTTGAAATTTAATGAAAAACAGCTTAACTACAAGAATGCTTTTATCATCATCATCATCATCATCATCATCATGGTCATTGTCTCGCATTCGAGATGTGTTCATCTTTATTTACAACGTTTTAAAGATACCGCAAACAAATAACCTGTACAAATTTTGGATGATAAATAATGAAATATTTTAATGTAAACATTTTGCGCTATATATTTACAAATATATATATTAATAATTTATTTTTATACAACATCTTCTTAGAGATAAATATAAACGATAACAATTAAAAAAACTTATATACAGACTTAAGGTTTAAAAAATTGCTAATACTGACAGCACATTACTAAAATGACTTAGTACTAATCACAGACACATTAATGATATTGTACATGAAATTTTTATTTTGATGTGGAGGAAAATATATCAATGGGAAAGTAATGAAAAGTGAAAAATCGATAATGTGAATATAGGATGAAAGGTTATCAAGATTACAAATCAAGTTCAATATGCTCTTTTGGCCTGACTAATATTTAACCCTGGTCCAATAATAGACAGGGTTACGTACATTTCGGTAACTGTCACAGCATTGGAATATCAACAAAACAAAACAAAAATAAAACAAACAAAAAAACAAAACAAAAAAAAAATAAACACCACATACACCATATTCAATCATTATACTATTAGCAGAAGTAACACTGTATATCAATTAATGCTCAAGTTTTTTTGTTGTTATTTTTATTTTATTTTTTTTTTTTCATAGTGAACCGCTGTCCATTGTTGGTTTAGCTTATAACATAATACCTTGGTGGTAGAGGTGGCGCGACATCATCGAAGGACTTTGCAGTTTCGAGAAATTCATTGCGCATAGTCTTCCGTGCCTGGAATGGAGAGTGAAACATCATTGAAGAGCCGTATAAGTTGAAAATTAAGCAGGCAGTGCAAGTAGAATCTTAAATACTAAACAAAAAAACAAAAAAAAAATTGATATATAAATTTTGGCATGCCCCCCATTATCATGACTTTTGTGCAAGATGTTGTTTTATACCTTGTTCTCATTTGAGAACATGTCATTACTTACATGCATTGACCAAGATTTACATGACGTGTGTCGTCGATGAAGCAGAAGACACTTGCTCTTCAGGAGCATTTGGTCTTACTCTCCTTGTACTTTATGCAGGTGTCACAGTGTAAATCTTACTTTTGTTAATATTTCCCCCTAGTTTTATTGAATCTAAGTTTGGATTATAAATACGTTCACTTGTTAGTATTTTCGTGTTGTTTTTTTATATCTTTCTATTTGAATATCTCAGTTTTTTTTTATTAAGTCCTTATCTATTTTTGTATGTCGCCCAAATGCAATTAATAAGAAAAAATGATTTAGTTTCAATACTTTGGAGAAAGAAAACTTCATGAATGACAAACACAAGAAATTCGTAATATGGAATCACTTATTTATTACAGGAGTGAAATAGACCAATCGTTTTGTTTGCACTCGGATGTCATCTCAGTCCATTTGTACTTTTAACAGGCACCTAAGTTTAAATAATAAATATTAATGTACTTTGAGTGATAGGGATAGGGAAAACACTTTTATTGGTATAAATATATATATTTTTCTTGTTGACATGTGGAGTTTTTGAGAACAATTTGGAAAAGCACGTTAGTTTCTCCTAAACTTGCTACCTGACCTTACCTCTCGTGAATGTGTAGACGACGTTGATATTCTCATTCTCACAGGGGCCTCATCAGATTGCGAACCTGCTACAGGCTCCACACTGGTGGTTGCTGAAGGCCTCCAAAAGGCTGCTTCCTCTCCCGACGATTCATCCTCGTCCTGTAACAAATGTCCAGGCTGCAGTAAGAGCTATGGGCACAATGCATATGTGTTGCTCTTAAATAAAGTTAAAGATTTGTCAACATGTGTTATATTTGCGTCTGGAATGACAGGTTAAGTTCCTGTAAATATTGATTTATCAGCAAGTTAGTTTTCATATTACTCACGGAAGCTACGAAACGGACTATATTTTAATTTTTTTCGAGAAATTCATTTTTTGAAGAATTTATTTCATCCTTCAACACACAACGAAAATGCATCGCTCCTGTAAAAACTATAATGTTATATTGCTTTCCCTGAAGAATCATTTTCAGATATTTCTGTATGGTAAAGAATTAAGATAATTTTATTATGACATTTTTTTCCAAAAATGTCAAAGAATGAACTATAGACATATATTTACCAGAAGTTCATCTGATTCACTTCCTGGTGAGCAAAAATCGTAACTTGAGGCCTGGCTGCTCCCAGATACTCTGCTTCCACTACCTGTAATCATATAACACGTGTTCAATAAGTTGACCAATCGCTTGCTGTTATATATCACGTGTTCAGTAAGTTGACCAATAGCTTGTTATTATATATCACGTGTTCAGTAAACTGACCAATTGCTTGCTATCATATATCACGTGGTCATTGATTACTAACATTTCATATTTTATTTTTTCCGATAACATAATTTTGACATGTTATTAGTTTTTTTACTGTCCCTGAAATTGATATTGAGTATAAAGTAACTTCAAGTTACTCACTAGAATTACTGTTCCGTTCCTGGCTGTTTTGAGATATGCTTCCCCTGGAATCTCTCAGAAGTGTCGGAGTCTAATTAGAATAAATATATATATTACTTCATTTTGTAGTTAAATGTCAGTTTTGTTCATCGCATGATATTTATCTTTTGTATTTTACGTAAAATCAGATATTCAAACTCTTTTATTCACGGGTAAAAAACCAGACAAATTCTCGATATGCATTAATGTGCTGCTACATAGATGCATCCGGAGATGTAATACAAGGCGTGAATTTAAAGAAATTGATGCCTGCAATCCAGATATTTCATTAAACTAATTAAGTAAGATGTTTTCAATACAAAAATAAATAATTTACATAGTGTATGCTGTATATATATATATATATCAGGATCTTACCGATATATTGAGATTTTGTTGTGATTTCTTTTTCACCAGTCTATTTTTGATTTTCTTGAAGACGCCTTTTCCTTTGTTTTGTTCCTTGACAATGTCAAACATTGACATATATTCATTCCTTAGCGTATCCAAGGCTTCCTTACGTTCTCTTATAGAACGGGAGTTATTCGCATTTTGTTTTTTCCATGATTCGTACAAACGCTCTGCCTCATTGAGAGTAAATTCTCCTTCCTTGACCGCTGAGAGTATTCCGATCAGATCGTTTTCTGCCGCGGAACCTTTACAAGGAAGGGTTGCTGATTTTCCTGTAAGCAGAAAGACAGCTATCAAGTCTTATTGTTTTCTTTCTGACTAAATTCACAAAAATATTCAATGACAATGGAAATTACTTTTGTTACTGTTGGTATTTTACCTGCAGCATGATTCTGTGTGCCAGTCATGCCCATGAATTCTTCCGCAGATGGCTGACGCGTTGGGCACTTCCTTGGAGCTGGAAGTGGTGGTCTTGACGGGTCAGGTTCACTGTATCGCCTACTAGGTTTCGCTGGAGCTGGTTTTAAAATCAATATCTTATCTTAGAATCCATAATTATATATCAACCTTTAAGTCAAGACATGATTAGGATATTTAATGTAATTCCACAGTCAAATCATACAAAACAGTATTCACTGAAGTTGAATAAGGTATTGATATTACTCACCCACGGGTGTCTTTGGTACGCTCTTTTTAAATCTGTCATGACTAGATTGTTGTATAGAACAGGGAGATGGATCTGAAAGAAAAACAATGGATGATGATGATGATGATGATGATGATGATGATGATGATGATGATGATGATGATGATGATGATGATGATGAAGACAATGTGTCTGACCTAATTTAAAACACTCTTTTATGATTTGTTGTTGTCATTTATCAATACACTCTGTTTGCCCTCTTACGAAAGAGAATTGCCTTTGTAATATTCGTACACCTGTTTCCTATTAAAAAAGAAGAAGTGGATACCCCTTAAATACAAATCTAAAATTAAAATACAGCCACAGAATGACTCTAACTACATCTTAACGTTGTTTCATCATCTATACTAGGGACCTAAATTGTATTATATATCTTTTTTCGTTCTTTCAAAATATGCTATGTGTTTCCTAGATATGTTTTCAAATGTGCTTACCTGAATTCATACCCAATTCGTATTGGTTTTCATACAGTTTTCTGCCACTCATCTCCAAATATATGTCTTCACAAGCATGGACAGTAGCTTCAACGTCCTGCAAGAGAAAGGTAAAAATGAAAACCATGAAACCTGTACGTAAGTTACATTGTACTATATAACCTTTCTCTATGTTATAAAAAAGTATGGCTCTTTGGCACGACTAAATCATAAATATTTCCGCGCTATTATCGATCAAGGTGGTGTTTATCAAAACGTGATAGCGAGTTGTAACAATCTGCTGGTAAAGGTGAATTTAATTTCCGTTATGTCAGTTATCATACAGCGTACTTTCCATGTATGCATGTAACTGGATGCATAGAATGCGATTCAAAGTTAAGATTATTGGAAAGTTATTCGTGCCTAAGAATAGATATTATCCAGGTTTTTCCTATCAATAACGTTATTGAAAGAAATGTTTGACTTTCGTGTAAACATCTTTTTCATTATTGTTATTGAACAATTTTAAAATCAGAAACAGCTATTAAACAAATTTGATAAGTCTATTTGTTGAGGTCTTTTTATTCTCGGATACAAGTTGTTTAAGAAACGTGAATTATGTGTATACGATTTTTATTTCGTTGCAGTAGTTTTTATGTTGAGTTTTAGTTTGAATATTCTTTTAAAATGCAATACAATGGATGACTCAGATCAAATGCTACGTTGCTTTATCTACTTATAATGCAATTGAAGTTTTCAACACGATTTTGAAGATCTAAATATAGAGACGAACAAGGAAGTCGCCACTGATCTACCCATTACCTTTATTGAATAGCTCGAGTAAACACGTATTCAAATTGAATACAATAATTTTTTTACTTTTTGTAAACAAGTTTGTGTGTGTGTGTGTGTGTGTGTGTGTGTGTGTGTGTGTGTGTGTGTGTGTGTGTGTGTGTGTGTGTGTGTGTGTGTGTGTGTGTGTGTGTGTGTGTGTGTGTGTGTGTGTGTGTGTGTGTGTGTGTTGGTGGGTGGGTGTGTGTGTGTGTGTGTGTGTGTGTGTGTGTGTGTGTGTGTGTGTGTGTGTGTGTGTGTGTGTGTGTGTGTGTGGGTGTGTGTGTGTGTGTGTGTGTGTGTGTGTGTGTGTGTGTGTGTGTGTGTGTGTGTGTGGTGTGTGTGTGTGTGTGTGTGTGTGTGTGTGTGTGTGTGTGTGTGTGTGTGTGTGTGTGTGTGTGTGTGTGTGTGTGTGTGTGTGTGTGTGTGTGTGTACGTGCGTGCGTGTGTGTGTTCTCACATTGGCACAATATTATGAAACTTACTACAAAGGTTCGAAGATAATCACATAGCTCTGTATGGCCATGCTTGTCTGCAAGGTCAGCAGGGTCATAACCATCTATGTTCTCCAATTGAAAGGCAGCTAAAGATCCAGGTGTGTCAAGGAGTAAAGAGCATAATTCACTCAGGCCATTTTTGGCGGCAAAATGAAGAAGTGTTGGTAATTCATGTTTGCTTCGATCTGTATCAAATAAAGTGACACACTGATAGAAATATTATTATGTGTTGAACATTGTTGACACAGGGCTGTGTCTGATTTACCTAATCATTTTGTTTTTAATTATTTCATAAACGATCTGTTTTGAATTCGTCAATACAATTTTCCTTTTCACTATTAGGTACATAGAGATAGTACACCATTTTACTGATAACGTTACTATGTGATAAAGTAATCTTCTGTTAATTCAGATCTTGAGTTAGCAATTGCAATACTTTTTGAAAGTAGATATAATCCATTTTTTTCGAATAATGGTAATGATATTCAAGTTTATTTTTATATATATCTGTATGTAGGTATTTATTTGTCAATGGCGAGGAATTTTTTAAGTATTAAAACAAAAGCGACCTAAACGGTTACTTACTTGGTGTAATATCCTCATAGAACTCGCCCAAGATGCACTCTAAAGCATCATCGTCTGGTAAGCTTTTTCGGTAGACCTTCACTAATTCTTTGTCTAGAGCCTCGTTGTTACCAACGGGAACTCGAAGAATCTGGGAGAGAAAAGCCGGGGACTGGTAGGGTTCGAGTGTGGGTAGTGATATGGTTAAAGGATGTTCTGCGAAAAATGTGCCATTTTTGTATACTTTCAGTTTGGTCTTCCCCACAACATGACCTGGAGAGATAGACAATGTCGTTTAGTACATTTAGTTGTGTAATTTAACTTGTCTGAATAAAACAAGATAAATACACAACGGAGCTGTGGCTAATACAATGTTTAATACTTTGATATTAACACTAGAATTTCATAGTAACATAAAAGTTACAGGGGAACGCCGGTTTTCGTGGTTACACAATGTCTTCGTGGTACAGCATGAAACAGCAATTCTTGTCCAATTGACGATTAGATCTCATGTAACTTTATGCAAGTATATAATAAATACGAAAATGGATTAAAGGTTTTCAAATGCAAATATATATCTCTTAATATTCAGAGTTGTAAAGTTTGTAAAGTGTTTTTTCTTTTGTTTACATTCTAACATAACTTGTTATTTCTGTCACTCTCCTCAGTGTGTAATGTAACCACGATCGTATACGTCACAATAATAGTCACATGACCAAGAGAGTTTCACAACAAAGAAATTCTCTATACAGATGCAAGGAAGGAAAATATGAATATTTATTTACATGTATCTGGCATTCTGAAGGAACATGCGAATGGATTCATCCTTTGAGCGACATATCTTGTCTCATCTGTCCCGATAGCTATCTCCACACGGCCTGTAAATTCAGTTCTGAAGATCACAGCAATGGTTTCTTCACGCTATAACAAATCCCGGACATAGCAATATAAGCATTCACTTTAATACGTTGTAACGGTATAACTATAGTTTTACGTTACATTTGAACATAAAACATATCAGTAACACATACTCCACATACTGTCACGTCGTATGTATGTATATGTTGTTGTCTACGTTCGGTATTTTCGTTATCCCTGTCGAGCGACCGTACTTGTGCGTGTGACCAGGTGAGTGGGAGTTCATGGAGGTCGCGTGAATTCCGCAGGGGTTGTTTACGGGTTATTTATCCGATGTAACCACTACAAGGAAAATATACAGGCACAGATTGCAGACTGTGGTAAGTCTATCTTAATATCTCTTTCTTCGCATTATTGCTTTCTTAGCCTTTTTCTTAATAAATATCTTTGATAAACACTCGTTGTTTGTGCGGCTCAGTCATGCGTAGCATTGTTGTTTTTATGTATAAGGCTACACTAGGGTGTCCTTTCTTAGATTGTATCTTAGTATTTGCTAGGAATGTTATTATTGTAGCTGTTTCTATAACTTCTTCCAGTTATTATAAGTTATATGTATTTTATAAGCGTATAGAATACTCAGGTGAGAACGTATGCGTGTTTGAAAAAAGTATGGAAGCCGTGAGTTGCCGTATAATGTCTCATACATTGTTTATGTTATTACCTTTATAACTCTTCGAAATGTATCATGTACTGTGTAATTTATGAGTATTTCTGGGGATAATTTCATTTATAATAGTAGTTGATTGTGTCATAATAATGTGCAAGTGTTGTATGCGAGTCAATCTTCGTTACTATTCTTTTAAGCTTTTCCCACCGGTCACAACGACACCAGCTACCTCATCAAGGCCACGACGGTTTTATCAGTGAGAGTCGGCACCAGGGCCTTAGCAGACAGTAAGGTCAGCCAATCACGGGAACTACAGGTTTGGCATTGGGGTACACGTTCCGAGGAGCATAGCGGTACAGATATGGCATCTATAACTGTGAGCTCTACTCTGCTTGAGAATTTTGTGTGGCACGCACAGCGTCAGAGTACTACTGCGGTAGTAGTTCGTCAGTTGTCTGGATAGGAATCCTCTGTCTCCATTGAATCCAGTATTTGGGGGTTTGCTTGAACTTTTCATTCCTGGTGTGAAGGACCGTTGAGGGGTGATCAACAGAGACTTTGTATAATACTGAAGTGTAATCTTTTGTGTGAATCTGAGGGAATGTGTGAGTGTGCTTTGTTTACGTTCATGTTGTAAATAAATTGTTAATCTTTATAACGGTATTGTGTTTCATTTTCCTGATAGCTTCTCGCCGCTCGTCCTACGTTACAACTACCAGAGATGACTCTGGGGGCAAATTATTCAGTAACGAAATATTTGGAGAGTTTTATCTCTAAACTCAACATAGAAAATACAAACACAACTGAATTCAATGAAATATGGGAAACAATGAAAACATAATGTGTTAATAAAACACTATACCTCCGGTTGGAACAGAATTCTGAAATAGGACATTAAAACTGTACTGTGTAAAACATGTGCTAATTACATGCACACTTTGTGAAACACTTATGTCTTCATTAAGCAATAGTTAAGACCAATGTTAAAGTTTTACACAATGAAGGTCAAAGGTCACAGTCAAGGTCACATGGTCAGCCAATTTGGTACCACCGGAAAGGTCTTGTCACAAGCAGTACACATCTTAAATATGAAAGTCCTACCTCATACGGTGCAATAGTTATGGGCAAGGTTAAAGTTGACAACAGACAAACAATTCTCTGACCTTTCGACCTGGGGACATCAAAAAATGAAAATACGACCAGGTGTCTTTGAAGGATAAGTGTCCTCTGCTTCTTGATCAATCAAAGTAAATAATGTCACAGTCCCAAATTAGAACAAGAAAATTAACTACGGAATCACCAGGCATCAAACTCGTCCAAATGCATTAAATTAGTTTTTGAAAAAGTGAATTTTGATGATTTGCTTAACAGATTTTTTTGCTTGTTGATATTTTGTTGTTTGGTTGTTTCGTTTTCTTCTTCATGTTGGCCAATCTTTCGGGAGCAATATAGATAAATCCATGTCACGCCATGACATAAATTTGCAAGATAAATTTTCACTTATCATAGCGGTGAAATCGTCCATTTACTAGTGATAGTGTTGAGAGCACGTAAATCGGAACGGAATTTGTCTTGCTTCGTTCTTCGCTTTTCTCCTATGCCGATGAGAAATTTGTAGTAGTTTAAACATCAGTGATCTAAATATTAACTAACCGAATCGTCAAAATAATGCGCTCACGGCAATAGCTGGATAGTAAAAAGTGGCAGCCGTCTTATTTAAAGCTAGGAATATAAAACAGTGTTGTCACTACAGTGTTGAAAACACTTAAATGATAAAAACAATATAGTGGCCGGAAGATATTTGGATTGAAAGTTGTAAATCTGAGAAAAGTTTCCCCCGTGAAAGAAACCTCGTGTTTGCCTACGTGCGTATTGCAATGTGGTGGAAAGGAACATAGGTGTTGTATTTAACTTATCGGGTCCAGATATCGTCTGTCTGCTATATGTAGGTCACAATAGCTCAATGACAATACAAAAATATCTTATCAATAGAGTGAACGTGAAGTGAATTTTGACCCAAATATAAACGTGACATGATCATTGACATGCAATCACATATGTTAATTCTACAGATTGAAAGAAGAACTTAAAGTAGATTTTTTTCTGAACAAAACAAAACTAGAAAAAATTCATCAACCTACCTCGTGGACGTGACTTGGCATAATCTTGAATTTTCTCATTTTTGTTTTTCTTTGCTTCGTTTGCAGTTGTTCTTGTTGCTCTATCAATTCTAGAAGATCTCCAACAATAGATCTATTGGCAATACCTACGTCTCCAGCGACAAACGTTTTCCATTTGCTCACAAATGGAGCAGTAGAGGAATCATTCATGTCATCCTGCGATGTGTGGCAAAGAATATTGGCTACTTGGGTTCTTTTACTCAAAGTAGGAAAATGGCTTTCGTCATCTTTAATAAATTGCAACATATTGTTTGTCGTCAGAATGACCAATAGTTTACTCTTGTTGACCTTGGCCCTGAACTCATGGGCAGATATTAATGTATCACAGACTTCAATGGTCAGTTTGACCTCACTGCAGCTCATCATTTTTTTCCAGTAGGCACACCATTCTTGACCATCGTCCAAATCATGGAATAAACAAATATCAATTTTCGCCAAACTGGACTTTCCTTTCTTCCCACGGTCATCATAAAATATGTCCGAAGTCATTTTCCCTGAAAAGATTATACAATTTTTTTATGAAGGAGACGTTTTGTTGGGATAAAAAACGACCTTAAGCATTGTGATCTTATTTACATTGAATATTCTAAAATATGTAACGACATCAATAAGTGTAGTAGATAGACAGAAATCGCTATCGTTTTTAATGGTTGCTTCATGATTTCAAGAAAACAATATTAGATTTAAATATACCTTTAAAGCCATAAACGCGTTTACATGTGTGTTCATTATGTTTGGAAACGCCAGTTCAACGATATGATAAATTTTATGATGAGTTTACAGTTTACAATTCAGGCATATTGGTGAGAAATTTCATTTTTCCGTTTGTTGACTTAGAATTTGTTTTTCTTTTGTCTTATGTCAGTGGATTTAGTTAAAGATTTAGATTTAGTAGCAGCAGTAAACAACACAGCACGGAAGAAAATACATCTTCAGATTCAATTGTTTGATGAATCACTATGGTTTCTAATGAAACACAACATTGCATTGAATAAAATAATATTTTTTTCCATGGAAAAATAACAGTATCTACATTATATACAACGAAGAAAATAATAGAACATACATTGAGTAACGTTACAGTGTAAACAACGAATGAAATAATAGGACATCTATCAAATAACATAACAGTATATCCATTGTATAACAAGATATTATATATACTGAATGACAAAACCTTATATACATTGAATAACTAAATAACAGAGCTACAATGGAAACAAATCTTTTTAAATATAAATCATTTTGATGAAAAAGGAAAATAAAAAGAAATCTGTATTGAAATATTAAGCGTTATTTCGATATCATGCCTGACTTGCCTTTAATCCATTTATGTACTAAAAGCTTCACGCCTCTCTGAACGCAATAAACAGGTAATTCACTCACAACTGAGTAGACAACAACAGGCTAGCACGAGACGCTCCAGGGAGAGAGATATAGGTGACTTAAAGTTTACAACAGGTATATATTTGTGTGGAAATACGGTATAAAATCTCAAAATATGTCTACAATATTACACAAAATGGACTTCAGTTAGATAGTGTACTGAATTGACTGTAGTGGGCCAATGAATCGCTTTCAGCTTCAAATTTTCTATACGATAGCACCTGTAATGATAGAAATGACACATATATTGGTGTGAAAACCAAGTTTCCATTATTTCTTTCTACAAGGTAGGTCTGTTCACTAATGTATGGGTAACATATATACAAACAAGGAAAAGAAATAGGAGCACACGTACCTACACCCTTACACAAATAAACATATGTATCATCAGCCACGCGAATACAACACACACACGGGGTGTCTATCTAGTTGGTGTATATGTATTATCAAAGACATATAAAACTTGTTTATATAAATCACACACACACATATATATAAACATACACCTACCTATTTACGGTGATCACGGCTTCACCAAGTAGACTATCGACTAATCATGTAATCACTTTTATATAACCTCCAGGTGCTGAGAGAATAGTAGTGTCTCACTGGATACAGATATGTATATTATGTTTTCCGGCTCCCGCTGACTATCTATATTATAGCCTGAGCATAACTTCCCAATAGAGTCGGTTTTCCACTGAGCTATTTTTAAACTTCCTTGTTGAAGAATGGCCTTCATGCGTATTGAACAAGGTAAATTCAGACCCCATTTGGTGTATTTACTCACAAAATTACAAGCTCCCTGGATAATGTGATACTTTTCTACGTGTCTTTTTTCTTGAAATTTTGATTTAACACATTCCTGTGAACTTGAACTTATGTGTACCCATATTCACTGTGTGTTCCCGCATTCACGAAGGCAGTCTTTCATAAATTGATCTCACCTCATCACTAACACAAACTACCCTGGTACTTTTCCTCCATAGTGCATAAACTATGAAATAGATAATCAATAAGGTTATTCCTTTATTGTTTATTAGTTAGCACATCAAGCTGTTTAAAGGGCTAAATCTGAAAAATATCTTAATAATGCTTGTATGAATATTTTGACATGTTTTAGCGAAAAATATGATCAACTAACCTGAGATACGACAGATGGAATACTACTTGTATCAATTTTTTTTTCAAAACATGTTTGAGGATGTAATCATGGTTGTTATATCTGCTCTAGGTAATGGGCCTATCAATATATAATACCTGTAGAATGAAAACTCCTTCCGTAATCGCATCCTTCATTTGTTTGCCTAATAAATGATTTTCCTAGAAGGCGCAAATCTTAAATACTATGAACACCCAATAACTCATCAAATTTCAGCATAGATATTTTTTCCAGTAATAGTTTTTGATAAAACGGGAACTCAGGAACAACGAATATGTATGAAGATCCTGTTGTATTATAATTATGCCGAGTTTCAAGTATTTTCTTACTTAAATTGATTGACTGTCATGTACATCGTTCGGAACCTATTACCACTGCTATTTTCCTAGCTACACTCATGTGATATATTTCAGTTTGTCGGTGTAACTTTTCTGAGAAAATTTAAGTGATTGAATTGTGGAGCTGGTGCACCTCATCATCTCAATTTTAACATTTTTGTCACTATGGGGTACCTCGTCGTCCCCTCTGCATCGAACTTCAGACCCTTATGATCAATTGCAAGTCTTAGAAGGGCGAAAGAGCAGTATGACACAGTTTTAAACAGTTTTACACATTGCTTCGCTTTCCTGTATCTAACTCTAAATTTTTATTGAAAGATACCATGCAATGATGTGTCTTTTATACAAACCTTATAATACTAATCAAATCGTAACATATTGTACCACCCAATATTTTCTTTATAAGGAGACACTGAGATAATGGAGAAGAAATGCCAGAATTAGGAGTGATGGAATCAGCATTATAATGAATAGATGTATATTAATCGTTATTGACCATTGGACATATCATAAGGATACATAGGAGATGCGGTAGATAAGACATCATGGCATCAGCTACAAGTAAAAGCAGTGCAGTCAATGTTCGTGCCAGATGGTCCCTGTTCCTACCTGACATCACACTCCATGACACGAGAATAACAAAATCTCGTCATTGTATATCAGATCACTGTTACCTAATACGCTTAGAACGTGGTAATGCGTAATGTAGTGACAGTAAGGTGTGTTATCTTCGAGAAACTGTTTTGTCACTTAAACTTAGTTAAATTGGTGACTTATTTTTTATGCTCAATGTATAATCAAGACACTTCAGGCACATTGGATGAAGTAACATACATTCAAATAATTGTCTTTTATCGCATTTTATTTGACGATTAGGCATCTCCCAGTGACCTCGGGTACATGTGTATGGATTATGTTGATGGGTTGCTAGGTAATCGTTCAAAAACGTCGTTTGAACGTTTATATATTCCGATTGAGCTAAACGTGGTCGAAGCTATTAAAGAGGATTTATAAGATGGTTTATTATGTATGTTGAACCACACAAGTAGAATTGTCTGTAATGTTTGTACAATTTTAGACAACTGCAAGTCAATAAGGTGTGTTTTTTGGACTATAATATGAAAAGGAAAAGGGTTTTAAGTTTTGTTTGTACTAGGAAATGATAATGTGTTATGTCAACATGCTTTTTGCATAAAATCTTCCTTCCATTAGTCATGTTAGGAAAACCTCATGTGACTTAAAACTTAAGAAGTAAGCAAGTCTGTGTTATGCAATGATCATTTTGTAAAACTGACCTGAAACCTGGGCAAATTTATGCCAACTTGTCGGGATAATTAACCATAGCAGGTCAACAAGATTATAAAGACTGACTTATCTATATAATTATACAGACAAATCGACATTGGTTTGCTGAGCATTTCTACGTATCTAATATTATCAATACATCTATTCCGGAAAATTATATATTTTTTTTTAAATTCTAAGAATGCATTTTATGCTTTGCTATACATTTGCAATTAAAACTTTGTAAGTGTTTGTAAGGTTCAAACTGTATTAGTGATAACTTGCCTGAGTACCCGATCTCTTGACAATAACATGGATACGATAAAGTGTTCACCTTGCTGCTTCTCTCAGTGTGCATTTACAAATACAATTTCTGACCATCGTATATCTTTTCTAAATTTTAATGATTTATGTTGTATACTATTTTATAGTAATTTAATACATGTTATAGTGTGAAGTTCGTGTTACCTTAAAGCCTTTATTGAATTACTTTATTTCAATGAACAATAAATCACAGGTTGATATCTTAAACAGTTGCTAGTTAGATAGAAGTAAATTAGTATCGTCAGGCTGAAAAAGTGGTTCTTTGTTTATTAATAGGTACGCAATGCATGATGATGATGATGATGATGATGATGATGATGATGATGATGATGATGATTCCGTTAATGATATATTTCTATTCTAAGAAAGCAACTTTCTTATTCAAATAAAAAATATCTAACGCATTTGGACATCTTACGTTTTAGGTCATGCCAAAGATTTCTTTTAAGCATATATATATATATATATATATGATGTAAAGCGTCTGAAGATTAATACATGGAAGCACTCATGCTTTACACTTAAATGCACATCGTGTTTCTGATTACTATTCTCATATATTGGACCGGACATTTGATATTTATTTCAAATTCAGTCCTACCAATGAACACTTATAATAGACTGCTTTAGCTACAAAATCAATATCACATTTATAAAATCAGTGCGCATTGTCCCATACAAGAGTCTGGTTGTTGGTATTGCATGTCATGGGATCCTTCATTGCACTTCCTCATTACGACATTGCATACAGGAGTTTCTATTGTGTATTACAGCGACTTCTGTAACAAAGAACACCATGAGTGTGGTATTTTCTTCGTGACGACAGTTAAACGAGTTGACGCTTTATTGGTTGTAACGAACAAATTGCTTCGTATTGTGTCCAGTATACTATCTTAAGGCTTTAGGCACATAAAATATTCAGACAACGCATTTCATATTGCACATCATCTGGCAATACCTGTCATATTGATTGCCCGTTGATTTATTTCACTAGG